CTCTCCTTTTCAAATAAATAAATAAAATCTTAAAAAAAAATTAAACCATCAATTCATTGAAATTCCAATCTCAATCTCAATAGGATTCTTCCTGGAAGTAGAAAAGCAGCTGCTAAAATCCACCTAGAAGAGAAAAGGTGTAAGAAAGGTAAAGACAGATCTGAAACTGAACAGAGGGGGGACTTGCCTGATGGGATCACAAAACGCATCAAAATAAAATCATTAGGGCGCCTGGGTGGCTCAGTTGGTTAAGCGACTGCCTTCGCCTCGGGTCATGATCCTGCAGTCCCGGGATCGAGTCCCACATCGGGCTCCCTGCTCGGCGGGGAGTCTGCTTCTCCCTCTGACCCTACCCCTCTCATGTACTCTCTCTCTCTCTCTCTCTCTCCTGCTCTCTCTCAAATAAGTAAAATCTTTTTAAAAAAATCATTAAACAGTACCGCATGGAGGCCAGGAACAGATGGAACAGATAAAGAGATGAATAAAACCTAACAGAAATGTCAGAAATAGACCTGTGTATATATGGGAATTTGGTTCATGATAAAGGTGAAATATCAAAATTGGGGATTGATTTTTTAAAAAAATGGTACAATTGGCTGCATTCATCATAAATTCCTACCGTAGTGCATTTTCAAAAATTAAGTCTTAATATAGATTAAGGACAGAAACAAAATCGAGACTCTGAAAGTATTACAAGTAATTACAGGGGCACCTGGGTGGCTCAGTCGTTAGGCGTCTGCCTTCGGCTCCGGTTGTGATACCAGGGTCCTGGGATCGAGCCCAGCGTCAGGCTCCCTGCTCAGCGGGAAGCCTGCTTCTCCCACTCCCCCTGCTTGTGTTCTTTCTCTCTGTCTCTCTCTGTCAAATAAATAAATAAATCCCTAAAAATAAGTAAATAAATAAAATCTTTAAAAAAAAAGTAATTACAGGATATATTTGTGACCCTGGGGGTATGGCAGTTCTCTTAAACAACACACCAAAAGCCAAAGTCAGCACCGAACAGACTGATAAACAGGTGTGAATAAACACTACGAATTCTTTGTGACATAAATAAATAGTTAAAATACAAAGTACAAACTAGGTGGGAATACTTAGAATATACATAACTAAGAATTAAAATCGCAATCCATAAAGTACTCCTACAAATTAAGACTAATAAAAAAAGGCACACAACCCCATTTAAAAAAAATGGGCAAAGGATATGAGCAAGCAATCCACAGAAGACAAACTACATAAGACCAATGAACTCACAAAAAGATGTTCTCTCTCCTTAGTAACCAGAGAGCCGCAAGTTAGAACAGTGTGATACTGTTCTTTCAGGAAATGACTAATTCTAACTCATCAACCAGGTCTCTGCTCAGATGTCCCTTCCTCCAGGAAGCCCTTCCCTACCCTCGGGCTGGGTTGGTCGGCCCCTCCTCTCCGCTCCCCTCCCCTCCCCTCTCCCCGGCGGCCGTCTGGGGTCTCCCATCGCAGCCTTGCTCACTCCGCGGGTCGTCACTGTTTGGGAACTCGAGTGTGTCTCTCCCACTGGACTGGAAACTCCAGAAGGACAGGAGGGAGCTATGGTTGTCAGTGGTCACCGCTGAGTCGCTAGCACTGCCCGGCACACGGCCGGGAACAGAGGAGGCGCTCGGGGGGTACGAGTGGAATGAAAGAGTGAATGAATGTGGGAGCCGAGGCCAGGTCAATGGCAGAGCTGGGATGTGAACCCAAGTCTGGACTGAGAGGAGGAACCTAATTTGATCTTCCGTCATTTTCCCTCCCACTGCATCCTGTCCGGAGGCCGAGCACAGGGAGGTGCTTCATAAGGGCATCGAAATTGAACTTCTCGGCAACCAGGGACGTTCAGACGGCTAGGTCGACGGCTCTCTCCAACTCAGACCTCCGCAGTCCTCCAGGACCATAGAGAGCTGCGCGGGGACCGCCCCTCTCGAAGCTCTACCTCTCTGGGGAACGGTGAGGGCGGGATCGAGGACTAGAGAGGCCGGAAGTAGGGCGAGCCCGGGGACGCGCTGGCCGCGTCGGCGGTGGGACGCCTCGGTCCCTCTCCGGTTTTTTTCACTCGCGGCTCGGGGGCAAGGAGGTGAGTCCTCGCGGCACTCCGACAGCAGGGCTGGGTCGAGAGGGGCGGGGGGGGGGGGGGCGACCGGCAGCCACAGGAGCCAATCAGTCGTTGCAGTGTCTGAGAGGTGGATGAGATGGAGCGAGGGGAGGGTATCAGGGTGCGAGCCCTGGGGGCGGGGCGGAGGGGACAGAAGCTGGACTGGGCAAACGGAAGGCGGGAAACAGTGAGGGCGGGACGAATAGAAAGTGGGGCCCTTGAGGGGCGGGGCTAACGAAACAGCTGGACCGGTAAGGGGCGGGGCGAGCTGAAGGTGGAGGCTCCGTGTGGGCGGGGCTTTACAGAATTTGGGGCACTGGGTGTTTGGAACTTGATGCTTTGGAGCCCCGGGATTTTGGGGGCGGGATAGCTGGGAGTGGGGGTTCCTGCTGGGAGGATGGGAATGCAGGCGCTGGTGTCTCACTCGCCCCCGCCGCCATGTCTTCATTTTCAGGCCCCAGAAGAACCTTGGGATGGACGAAGAGGGAGTGCGGCAGCCCTCCGGGCCACCCACGAGGAAGAAATTCTTCATACCGCTGGGCGAAGATGAGGCCCCTCCTGCAGGGGTAGGATGAGGAGATGGGGAGAACACTGGGGGGGGGGACTGGGGGGGATTGAGAGGAAGGGGGACGGGAAGGGTCCTGTGACCACCCGTGTGGGTTAGGAAATGTGGCCTGGGTCACCTTGGGAAAACACCTTTGCTCTCCGCAAGTCTGTTTCCCATCTGTAAAATGTCATGGCGAATCCAAGAGAGGGCTCCAGGCAGGGGCTGCAAACTGGCAAGCAGCGGGTGGCCTGGGGATCTGTTTTATGTGGCCAGCACCCTGGTTTGCAAAGCATGAATTTATTGCTGACATTTGAGAATTGGAAGGCTTTGCAATTAAAAAAAAGGTCTGTGCTTTTGACATCTTTTGGTAAATGGAAGGATCTGACAACACTGAGATTGAATTCCCACAGGAAAACGATTGGCTGGTGCTGAGTACTGGCTGCTCCCTGTGTGCTAGGAAGAAAAACAAAGTGGGCTAAAGATAGAGGGGGTGATGGGGGAGAGGTGCTACCTTAGGTCAAGGGACTGCTTCTCTGAGGAGGTGACCTCTTGGCAGTGGTGTGGAAGAGGTGAGGGAGTGAGCTATGTGACAACATCTCGAGGCAGAGGGGACAGCCAGTGCAAAGGCCCAGGGAGTTTGAGGGCAGCAAGGCCGCCAGTGGGGCTGGACTAGAGAAAGCAAAGGGAAGGAGGTGGGAAGTCCCTGAGACAAGAGGGCAGGGACGGATCTTCTAGAGTCTTGTGGGCTCTGGTGATGCGTTCAGCTTTTGCTCTGAGGCGGGAGCCACCGAGGTCGCTGAGCAGAGCGATGTGAAATGACAGTGAACAGACAGTAGGGGTGTAGACAGGGAGCTGGTGAGGAGGTGACTGCAGTGGTCCAAGGGAGAGAAGGTGGTGGCCGGGACCAGTGCAGAGGCTGAGGAGTGGGGAGAAGGGGCTCAATTTAGATTTTGACACTCCCCTCCCCTGCACAGGTCAAGCCCTTATTCAAATCCACCTGGAGCCTGCCCACCGTGGAGGCCTCACCTCAGGCAGCCCCTCAGACGTATGCCGAGTATGCCATCTCGGGACCTCCAGGAGGGGCTGGAGCTCCACACCCCACGGGGCCAGAGCCCCTGGCAGGAGAGACCCCCAATCAGGCCCCCAAACCAGGGGCGAAATGCAGCAGCATCATTGTGAGCCCCCGCCAGGTGAGGAGGGGATGGAGAAGTGGGGCTTTGAGGTTTCTGGTGGGAAACACGGGTTACGGGGCGGACTTCTGGTGGGCAGTGGAAGGAAGTCGGAGCTCTGGCCTTTTTTTTTTTTTTTTTAAGATTTTATTTATTTGTTTGACAGAGAGAGAGAGACAGTGAGAGAGGGAACACAAGCAGGGGGAGTGGGAGAGGGAGAGGCAGGCTTCCTGCGGAGCAGGGAGCCCGATGCGGGGCTCGATCCCAGGACCCTGGGATCCTGACCTGAGCCGAAGGCAGATGCTTAGCGACTGAGCCCCCGAGGCGCCCCTGAGTTCTGGCCATTGTGCTCGGGGCTGGGCCCCTCTTTCATTGATCCATTCAAGTACTGCGTGTGGGTTGAGATTGCTCCATGTCCTATTGTTTTGTTAGAACAAATATACCATAGACTGGGTAGTTTAAACAGCAAACATTTATTTCTCACGGTTCCGGAGCCTGGGAAGTCCAAGATCAAGGCGCCGGCAGACAAAGTGTCCGGAAAGGACCCTGGTTCATAGACTGCTGTCTTATTGTGTCCTCAGATGGCAGAAGGGGTGAAGGAGCTCTCTGGGGTCCCTTTAATGAGGGCGCTAGTCCCATTCCCGGGGGCTCCACCCTCATGACCTAATTGCCTCTCCTCACCTCCTAATACCATCCCATTGGGGGTTAGGATTTCCACATGTGAATTTTAGGAGGGACACAAAAGTTTAGTCTATACCACCCTGACTCTTCTTTTTGGGGGTACGACTACATTTCCTGTCCTCCGGGTCTTTTCTTTCATTCAAAGATGATTTCTTGAACGCAGGCCCGAGTTCGAATCCTGCTCTGGCATGCAGCAGCTGTGTGATCTTGAGCAAGTGCCTTAACTCATCTGTGCCCTTAAAATGAGGTTTCTTCTGCTTGTGATCACACTGAGGTACCAGCTTACCCCTATGAGGATGGCTCTCATCAGTTGGCTAAAGAAGGGTCTTGAGGCTGTGGAGGAATTGGAACCCTCCTAGGCTGCTGGTGGGAACGCACAATGGTGCAGCCACTTTGGAACACAGTCTGGCAGTTCCTCAAACACTTAAACATAGAGTTACCGGGGCCCCTGGCTGGCTCAGTTGGTGGAGCGCGTGACTCTTGATCTCAGGGTTGTAGATTCAAGCCCCATGTTAGGTGTAATTAACTTTAAAAAATATAATTTATTTTAAAGATTTCATTTATTTGTGAGAGAGAGAGAGAGAGAGCGAGCGAGCAAGCTGGGGTGGGGCAGAGGGAGAGAGAGAACCTCCAGCAGACTCCCCGCTGAGCACGGAGCCTGACTCAGGGCTCGATCCCATGACCCTGAGATCACTACCTGAGCTGAAACCAAAAGTTGGATGCTTAACCAACTGAGCCACCCAGACACCCTCCCCACCCCCTGCAAAATAAAATCTTTAAAAAATAAATAAATAAACATAAGAGTTACCAAATGACCCAGCAAGTCTACTTCTAGGTAGATGTTCAGGAGAAATGACAACATACATCCATACAAAATCTGGTGCCCGAGTGGTCCCCACAGCTTGTGTCCCAGTAGCCAAAAAGTGCAAACAAATCACATGTCTGTCGGCTGACGTCTGGCTCCTTTCACCCACCATAAGGCTTTCAGGTTCCTCCATGAGGTAGCGCGTGTCCGGGCTTCCTTCCTTCCCTTTGTGGGCCCAATAGCATCCCGGTGTATGGAGGCGCCCTGCCGGGGTTCACATCCCTCAGCTGATGGGCTGTCCGTCGGGCTGTTTGTACTTGTTGGTTATTCTGATGACGCTGCCCTGAACATCTGAGTTCGGATTTTTTGGTAGACGTGGGTTTTCAGTTCTCTTGGGTATTTATGCAGGCTAGGTCATGGGGTGACTCTATGGGGTGTTGAGCTTTTTTAGGAACTCCCAAACCATTTTATCCAATGAGGCATCATTTTATGTTCCCACCAGCAGTGGGCAGGGGTTCCAGTTTGCCCAGATCCTTACCACCTGTCCTTGTCTGTCTTTTTGACCATTTTGGCCATTCTAGTGGGTGTGAAGGGGACAAAGGATTCCTTTTTTTTTTTTTTAACAGTCAGTCTCATTTTATTGTATCTTCCAAAATGTTTAATATTTTCTCTCTCCTGTTAACAAAAAGTAAACTTCCATGCTATTTGGACAAATCAGTTTTAGCAATATGATCATGTCCAAGGAACTTTTATTTTTAAAGGATTCCTTTTTTAAAGAATATTTTATTTGTTTATTTGAGAAAGAGAGCACGAGCAGGGAGTAGGGGTAGAGAGAGGAGCGGACTCCCCGCTGAGCGGAGAGCCTGACGCGGGGCTCGATCCCAGGACCCTGAGATCATGACCTGAGCCAAAGGCAGACGGCTTAACCGACTGAGCCACCCAGGCGTCCCAAAGGAATCCTTTAAAAATGAAAATAGGATCTTGTCTCAGGTAGACATCCCACCTGGAGAAGGAGGAGGAGAGGGACATGTCCACGACCAGGCTCTGGTCTCTGGATGGTGGGGCTGTCCCCAGAGTGGGGCCAGTAGGAGGGGCAGGTGTAAGGGCTGATGCTGAAGGCACTTGGGATGCAATGAGGCAGACATCCTGGAGGAAGTGTCCCGCGACCCCAGGACACACACGTGGGGCTAGGGGAGAGGGCTGAGCTGGAGAGATTCGGAGATCCTTTAGTTAAGGTCCAGGGCTGGGGGGAAGGGCCTAGGTCAGAGCCAGAGCACCAAGGACATTTCAGGCTGAGGAGGTAGGCTGTGGAGAGGAGGGGGACAGGCTCAGGCAAGGAGCAGGTGGGGAGGGGGCCCTGGGCTGGCAGTGATCCCAGGCCCATCCTGGTTAATGGCTTTGGTCCTTCCTCCGTCCCCAGAGGGGCAACCCCGTGCTGAAGTTTGTGCGTAACGTGCCCTGGGAGTTTGGTGACGTCCTTCCTGACTACGTGCTGGGCCAGAGCACCTGTGCCCTATTCCTCAGGTGAGCTCTGAGGGGCTGCCGCACCTTCCAGAGACCTGGGAGGCCTGGGAGGGCGTGCCCCCGTGTTTTGGACCATTCAGTGGGAGAACTTTGGGTGTGGCCCTGTCGGCTCTAGGCCTCGGTGGGACCTTGTGTGGGAGGAAGAGGTGTTTGCCTGGAGGTGCCCAGAGCAAGAAGAGCTGCAGGCCCAGACTCTGGGTCTGAGGGAGGAGGGGGCTGGGTCCCTGGACTCCTGGGTCTGAGGGAGGAGGGGGCTGGGGGCCTGGACTTCTGAGTCTGAGGGAGGAGGGGGCTGGGGGCCTGGACCCCTGGGTCTGAGGGAGGAGGGGGCTGGGGGCCTGGACCCCTGGGTCTGAGGGAGGAGGGAGTTGGGGGCCTGGGCTCCTGGGTCTGAGCAAGTTGGGGGTCGGGTCACTCATGTCCCAGACATCCAGGCCTCGTCAGTGAGAGCCAGGATTTCTCTAATCTCTACCCCTGTGAAGCACATTCCCTCTCTACTCCCCGGGGCCCCTCTCCAGACAGAGCTAGAGGGGGGAAGTGAAACTTCTAGGTTGCTGTCTTCCTTGCAAGGTAGGAGGGCTGGCGGCTGCTGGGCAGAGATGTCCTGCCCCTGGTTCGCTGGGTGGAGAAGCCACCCCAGCCCCTCCCTGCCAGTGCCCTTTGAGGCCAAAGCAGAGTCCCTGGGATGGGCCTGCCTCCCAAGACTAGCTGCACAGTGTCCCCCAGTCCCCGCTCTCTAAGCCCCGGTCTCCTGTCCTCTACCCAAAGCCCAAGTCTCTTCCCTGCCTCTGTGAAGAACCTGGGGTCCATCCCCCCAGGGAACCAGAGCCAGCAGCCCTTGCTGCCAATCCCACCGTGCGCCTGCCTTGCTGGGTGACCTGGGGCAAGTCACTTTACTTCCCTGAGCCTCAGATCCCTGTGTTGCCCATGCCCTCTGCCTTCCAGGGAGAGTGAAGAAGGGCCCCTGGGGTCTTGGGGAGACCGAGACCTCCCAATCCCTCCCTCTCCCCTGCCCCCCCCCAGCCTCCGCTACCACAACCTCCACCCAGACTACATCCACGAGCGGCTGCAGAGCCTGGGGAAGAGCTTCGCCCTGCGGGTCCTGCTCATCCAGGTGGATGTGGTAAGCAGTGGTCATTTCCCCACTGGCCTTGTTGACCCCATCTGTGAAATGGGTCTGAGGGAGGAGGGGGCCTCACAGCAGCCAAGTGGACTGTTGAATCGTGAGGGAAGATGCCAAGTTGAAACCTCAGTGAGGAACCACTTCGCACATCTGAGATTGACACCCTGTGTTGGCCCAGGGGGTAGGAGGGTAAAATCGTCCATCTCCTCCTTCCCCACACCACTTCCGCCGAGCCCAGCCTTCTGCCACCTAAACGTGTCTTGAATCTGTGTCATCCTCTCTGTCCACCCCGCCCAGCCCGCCTGGGCCCTGACTCCAGCCTCTTCCCTTGTCTCCTGGCCTCCAGCCTCAACCCCTCCCTCCTTACACCATCCTAAAGCACAGATCTGCTGTCCAGATCCCCCCGTGGCTCCCTAGTGCCCTCCGTGGCCCATGAGGCCTTGTGCGAACGCCCCCCTGGCCCCATTCTCTGGGGTCATTTCTGAGCTTCCGTGTGGTCACCCTTTTACATTCTCCATCACGTACTGTGTGAATCACAATTCCTCAAGCTCTCTTTCTCCTCCCATTCTTTGGACAAGTTGTTCCCTATGCCTGGAATTCTGTTTTTGCTCTCCTTTGCCTCCTTCACTCCTCCTCATCCTCTTTCAGGTCTCAGCTCAAATGTCCTTTCCTCCAGGAAGCTCTCCCTGATCCCCTAGGCAGGTCGGATGCTCCTGCTCTCCCATCCCAGTCCTGGTCACTCTGGCTCACCACTGTACGGGGACAGTTTTATCTACCTCATCAGACTGTGAGCCCCAGCAGGCAGAGCCTGGCCTGTCTTGGTTACTGCGGGGTCCCGGCATTGCCCAGCACAGGTGGGCACCCAGTCAGAGCTTAGGAAGTGTCAGTCAAGTGGAAGGTTCTTGGCATCCTAACCTACTGTGTTTTCAAGACTATAATTCCTTGCTTTCTACCAGATTTCTCATTCTGACTTTCTTGTCCATCCAGAAAGATCCCCAGCAGGCCCTCAAGGAGCTGGCCAAGATGTGCATCCTGGCTGACTGCACCCTGGTCCTTGCCTGGAGGTGAGACTGAGGCTCCCCGCTCAGGTCAGGCTCTATCCCGAGAGTCCTTCAACTTGCTCTGCCCCCCTAGACCTTTCCTTCTTCTGCCATGAACTCCCCATATGAGCCTGATCCAGGCACTGCCTCCCTCTGGGCCTCAATTTCTTCACCTTCATTAAGACCCTTTAAAACAGGGTCTTAATATCTTATAGGGCTGTGGTTACAAAGGCAGGTGATATAAATCAAATTGCCAGGACAATACTAGGCACTGATGAGTTAGACATAAAGTCTGTCTGAATAATTAATTCCACATCTAGGTTTCTAAAGACTATTTAGATGGGCTAATTTCTAATTGGAAAAAAAGATATCCCTTCCTCACACCATAAAAAAAAATTAAATCCTGACAAATTATAGACATTAAAAAAAAAGGTGTTAGAAGAAATCTTACAGGAGAATATTTTTTATACTCTTGGGGTAGGAAAATTCTTCTAAAGCAAGACCCAGAACCCCGAAGCCATAAAGGAAAAGGTTGGCTGGTTTGAGAATATTTTTTTTTTTTTAAGATTTTATTTATTTATTTGTGAGAGAGAGAGAGAGAGAAACAGCATGAGAGGGGAGAGGGTCAGAGGGAGAAGCAGGCTCCCCGCTGAGCAGGGAGCCCGATGCGGGACTCGATCCCGGGACTCCAGGATCATGACCTGAGCCGAAGGCAGTCGCCCAACCAACTGAGCCACCCAGGCGCCCTGATTTGAGAATATTAAAACTTGAAAACTTCTGGGTAGTAAAAGATACTGTAAATAAAGTTAAAAGACAAGTGACAAATTATGAAAAAGTACTTGCTGTGCATATATATATATATAAAATAAAGACTTAACATTTCTAATTTATATATGTACATACGTTATATTTATACAGTGTTAATATATTTAAATACTTATATGCACATATTTAAACCTATTTATTATATATTTATCTATGTAAAGAAATTCCCACAGGTTAATAAGAGCCTAAATAAGAGTCTAATTCAGGTTGCCAAAACACATGAAAAAAATATCAACCTTATGATTTATCAAGAAAAAAGTAAATTTTATTTTATTCTATTTTTTTAAGATTTTATTTATTTATTTGAGAGAGAGAGAGAGAGCATGAGTAGTGGGGAGGGGCAGAGGCAGAGGGAGAAGCAGACTCCCCGCGGAGCAGGGAGGCCGATGCGGGGCTTGATCCCAGGACCCTGGGATCATGACCTGAGCTGAAGGTAGACACTTAACCGACTGAGCCAACCAGGTGCCCGAAAAAAGTAAATTTTAAAAAATGAGGTGCTGTCTTTCTCCCGTAAATTTGGTGAAAACGTCTCAGATGGATAGCATGAAATGGGCACCTGCGCATTTGGTTGGTGGGAGATTTGATTGGCTATTTACACAAAATAGACACCACTCTTCAATGCTGACATTCCCGCACCGGGATTAGCCCTGCCTGTGTGTGCAGATGTCCATCCACGATGACGTGGGCCATCACTGCACATCAGAGGGTGGGGACCAGAGTTGCAGAACCAAACAGCACCATATTTTTATTTATAGACAGAAGGGAGGAAAGGGAGCTGTGTTTCTGAACAGACACGTATGTGGATAAACTAGAAAGAGCTACAAAGGCTCCAGGCCCTGGACAGCGTTGATCTCTGGGGAGGGTATGAAGAGTCGGCAGTGATGGGAAGGGGCGATTTACTCTCTCTGCTTCTGGCTTTCTTCTGAATATAGACTGGTTAGACTTTCTTTTGTTAAATAAATGGCGTATTCATGGGCGCCTGGGTGGCTCAGTTGGTTAAGCGACTGCCTTCCACTCAGGTCATGATCCTGGAGTCCCGGATCGAGTCCCGCATCGGGCTCTCTGCTCAGCGGGGAGTCTGCTTCTCCCTCTGACCCTCTTCCCTCTCATGCTGTCTCTCATTCTCTCTCAAATAAATAAATAAAATGTTTTTAAAAAAATGGCATATTCATGTAGTTCTAAAATCAGAAGCTATACGAAAGCGGTTTGTCTGTGTGCACACATGTATACATACGTGTATATGGTATATACACACGGCATGTATGTATGTGTTTGCTGTTCTGTGCCTTGCATTGTCGTGTCATCACCTGGAAGTCTTTTCTTTGCCTTTTTTTTTTAAGATTTTATTTGCTAAAGAAAGAGAGAGCGAGCACAAGCAGGGGGGAGCAGCAGGCAGAGGGAGAGGGAGAAGCCCCGATGTGGGGCTCGATCCCAGGACCCTGGGATCATGACCTGAGCCGAAGGCAGACACTTAACCGACTGAGCCACCCAGGCGCCCCCCGCCCCGACCCCGGAGGTTTTTTCTCTCTCAGTATAGAGAACAGCCACCTTCTTTTTTTATGGCTGTGTAGTATCCCAATATAGTGTTCACATTTTAAAAAATACTAATTTTTTAAAAGATTTTATTTATTTATTTCAGAGGGAGAGAGAGGGAGAAGCAGGCTCCCCACAGAGCAGGGCGCCCAATGCGGGACTCAATCCCAGGACCCTGAGATCACGACCGAGCAGAAGGCAGACTCTTAACCGACTGAGCCACCCAGGCACCCCTAAAAATATTAATTTTTTAGAGCAGGTTTCAGTTTATAGAGAGTCATCAGGAAGTGCAGAGAGTTGCCACACAGACTCTCTCCCCCTGAATGTGTTTTCTCCTATTATTTATATCTTGTATGAATTCGTGTGGTACATTTGTTACAACTCTTTAGCCAATACTGATATATATATATATATATATATACACACACACACACACACACATATATATATATTTTTTTACTTTTAAAGATTTTATTTATTTAAGAGAGAGCAGGGGAACAGCAGAGGGAGAGGGAAAAGCAGGTACTCCGCTGAGCAGGGAGCCAGATGCGGGACTCGATCCTAGGACCCTGGGATCATGACCTGAACCAAAGGCAGACGCTCAACCAACTGAGCCACCCAGGCGCCCCATCCAGTATTGATATATTAACCAAAGCCCATAGCTTACATCAGGGTTCATGCTCTGTGTTGTCCATTTTGTGGGTCGGTATGTGTCCATAATTACTGTACCATACAGAATAGTTGCACTGCCCTAAAGACTCCCCTGTACTCTACTCGTTCATCCCTCCCACCCCCAAACCCTTCATCCTTTTAGTCTCCATAGTTTTGACTTTTTCGGGATATCATATAGTTGGAATATACACATATATAGTATAGAATACGAGTATTGTCCTTGTGTGTAGGAAAAAAAAAACCCCGTTCTTCCCTAATGTGGGTCTTTTTCCTGTGTTGCTTTTACTCCTCGTACAAAACACTTCACTTCTGGCCACCAGATGTGTCAAAGCTTTTTCCCCACGCCCAGCCGTTCTCTGCAACACCCGCCAGGTGTCCTATGGTTTAACACAGTTCTGACGCCATCTGCCTGGAGATGGCATCAGATCCCTTAGGTGAAGGGCTCAGTCCAAGACCGCCCCCGACTTCAGGCACCTGTCACAAGCCCAGCTTGTACTTCTGACCAGCCCGCTTCCAGGGACCCCCACCCCCACCCCCCCGCCTCGGGTTCGGTTTGTAGAGCAGCTCACAGGACTCAGGGAAACACATTTATTGGTTTAGTAAGGAATTTGTTAAAAGGTAAGAATCAACAGCAAGATGGTGAGAAACATAGGATGAGATGTACGGAAGGGTCCTGAGCACAGGAGCTTCTGTCCCTGTGGAATTGGGGCGCGTGACCCTCCCCGTGTTGACATGTTTGCCCACCTGGAAGCTCTGAACCCCCTGGTATTGGGATTTTATGGCACAGTCAACTGTTAGTCCATTTCCAGCCCCTGCATAGGTGGGGCTGAAAATCCCAAGCTTCTGATCGGTTCTGGTGACCAGCCCCCATCCAGCTCCCATCCAGGAGCCCACCCAAAGTCATCTCAATAGAACAGATATGGGGGCGCCTGGGTGGCTCAGTCGGTTAAGTGTCTGCCTTCAGCTCAGGTCGTGATCCTGTGGTCCTGGGATCGAGTCCTGCATTGGGCTCCCTGCTCCGCGGGGGGTCTGCTTCTCCCTCTGCCCCTGCCCCAGTCATTCTCTCTCTCAAATAAATAAAATCTTTAAAAAATATAGAACAAAGATGCTCCTACTGCTCTTTTCACTGAGGAATGTACAAGGGTCTCGAGCTCTGTGCTGGGAACCAGGGGTAGAAACCGTAGAAGTTTCCTCTTACCTCACAGAAGCCTTTTCAGATTGGCTTCTCTCATTTAACAATATGCTTCTAAGGTTCCTCCATGCCTTCTCATGATTTGGTAGCTCACTTCTTACTGCTGAATAATATCCCATTGTCTGGATGCACATTCTTTCCCAGCTGTGTAATATTCCATCAGGCAGCCAGGCCGCGTCACGACCTTGAACTCACGACCCCTAGAGATCAAGAGTTGCATACTCTACCGATGGAGTCAGCCGAGCGCCCCCGTCTTAGTTGTATATTAAAACGAAACCAAGTGTAAACATTACTGTTTTGTGGGAAGTAGCGTCATGTAAAGTTAAGGGTGCTGTTTCTCCTAGCCAGCTGTGTAATTTTGGGCAAGTGACTCCACCCCGCTGGTCTGCTTCCCCCTCTGTATAATGGTTTGAAAATAATAAGTGCCTTATAGGAGCTCTCGGTTCTGGAAGGTTCTGAGCATAATGAGTTAGAGCAGCACCTGGCATGCAGCTAGGCCCCCCCCAAGAGGGAATGTTTCCTATGTCTTTACATCTAAATCATGGAATGTTTTGCAACCGTTAAATAAAAGAGGTTGAGCTCCTTCTGCTGACATGGAAAAACATCCTGCTTATATTGCAGAGTGCAAAAATGAAGGCAAATTCTAGAACCGGACACAGCGTGCTAACCTGAGGGTCCTGAACAAATTATTAAGAACCATAACAATAATCCGGCTGCAGTGAAAAGCCGCAATGCCCATTTAACAAGGAAAAAAAAATAGAATTAGGAAAATGAATGTTTCTTTCAAGAATATGAACCGTCGCTTAATCAAAAAAACATTGCTTATTAGCTAGGATCTGAAGGCCAAGATGCCTCAACCCTGAGTCCTTTACTTCCTTCGACTCAACTCACTCTTCCCAAGTTCCCCAAACAAAAAAGGCCAGCTTCTTCCCAGTGCCAATAAACTTGAGTTACTTTCTTCCGCACACATAGAGCCTTTTTAAGATTTGATTATGTCACCTACCTTTGAAGCAGTCCGTTACATGTAAGAGGAACCCATGCCTGATGTGAAAATGAATGGCGATTACCAGGTCATGTTAGCCTCTATAATAAGATTCAGCAGTCAGCTCGCCTGCCTGCTCGCCCGCAGCCTTTCTCTTGAAGGCGTGCTAGATTAAAAACCGACAGTGGGAACTGAATGCCTCCTAAATTTGTCTCCTGGGGTTGGGAAAAGAATAACAGTGTTTCTGGTTTTTTTCTCCCTCTCAAACTCCACATACCCACTTCCCTTCCAGAATAGCTCATATTTCTTAAAACAGGTCTCTGAGCCCCCAGCACCGTTCTGAGTGCTTGGAGCCAGTTCTACCATCCGCTCCACTCTATAGATGAGGAGACTGAGGCCCAGAGAGAGAAAATCACTGGCCCCGGGGTCACTCAGGTGGGAAGGGGGAACCTAAAGCCAACGGGTTAGACTCTCAAGCTCTGCCCCTTGGCCAGCAAAGGTGTGCCTGGCGTGGGTTATCACCAGGGGACATTGAGAGGAGCGAAGTTTATTTTTTTTCCTCTATATTAGAGTTAACGGCATAATAAACTGAATCTAAAACATGCCCCCCCTCCCGTTGGCTGACCCGAATGTTCTCACCCCAGCCCTGAGGAGGCCGGGCGGTACCTGGAGACCTACAAGGCCTATGAGCAGAAGCCGGCGGACCTCCTGATGGAGAAGCTGGAGCAGGACTTCGTCTCCCGGGTGAGGGCGCCGCACCTCCCTGCCTGGGCCTCCCCCAGCTCCTTCCTGGGGCTTGAATCCAACCTCTCCTCCCCATCCCACCCTCAGCTCCCTCTCTCCTTTCTCACTCGCGCGCGGCAGCCAGAGGGGTCTTCCTAAGCATAAACTTCATTCTGCCCTCCCCAGCTCAAAACCCTCCCATGGCTCCCCAGTGCCTTCAGGGAAAGCCTGGCCTTCTCACAACACTCTACAAGGCCCTGCCTATTCTGCCCAGCAGCCCCATCCGCCCCTGGCCTCACATTCTGTCACTTCTGCCAGACCTGGCTCACTCCTCTAAGCTTGTGCCTTTTTGTTCCCTCTGCCTGACTACCCACCTAATCCCATCTTTCACATCTCAGCTCTGATGCCTCCTTCTCCAGGAAGCCCTCCCAGGTCTAGTGCCCCTGCGGGGGTCCCCCGCCAGCCCTGCCCATGTGGGTCACCACCGTCAGGAGCTGATCTATCTCCCACACTGGACTGGGAGCCCCAGGAGGGCCGGGCCAGGCCTGGCTTGGTCTCTGCTGTGTCCCCAGCATCACGCAGCACTCAGTGGGTGCTCAGGGAGTATTGGCTGAACGAAGTGTTTAATCTGGGTTCCAACGACTGAGTAATGGTGGACATCCACCACCACCCTTGAGGTGGGTACTATGAGGGGCCCCCACTAGCCTGAAAAGAGGCCCAGAGGGGTCAGTTCCCATGCCCAGGCCTCACAGGAAGTAAGCAGTGGGCCCTGGTTTTGAACTCAGAGCCTGTGGTCTTCCCTTGGGTAGAACAACTCAGGAGAAATGGCATTTATCTTCTCATCATGTGACTGACACCCTCTCACCTAGTTGGGGACCACTCTGAGATGAACTTACATTTTTTATTTTTAAATCTTTTAAGTTTTTTTTTTTAAGATTTTATTTATATGAGAGAGAGAGCACAGCAGGGGGAGGAGCAGAGGCAGAGGGAGAAGCAGGCTCTGCGATGTGGGGCTCGATCCCAGGACCCTGGGATCATGACCTGAGCTGAAGGCAGACGCTTAACTGACTTGAGCCACCCAGGCGCCCTGCTAAGATGAACTTTTAATCAAAGAAAAAGGCCATTTACTGAGCATCTCCTGCATGCAGGCAGTCTGGGGACACAGTGGTGACCCAGTGCCGCCCTGCGGGCTGTCGCAGTCATTTCTCTCATGATGCATCTCCGCCTTCTCCCCTTCCAGGTGACTGAATGCCTGACCACAGTGAAGTCCGTCAATAAAACAGACAGCCAGACCCTTCTGACTACTTTTGGGGTAAGGAACGATTCCCTTATCCCAATGGCATTTTGACCCCCTTGCCTTTTCAAGGAACCCCCACCCCACACACACCTGTTTCCTTCCACCTCACTGCCCCCTTCTCCCCATCCTTCCTGCCTCCCCTGCCCTCCCACAGGACCTCACCTCCTTCCAGGGATCTCTTAGACCCCTGATCAGCTGGGGCAGGGTAGTCTCGTGCTCCCCATCTCTGACCCTTCACTCCCACCTTCCTCAGTCTCTGGAACAGCTCATGGCCGCATCGCGGGAAGATCTGGCTTTGTGCCCAGGCCTGGGACCCCAGAAGGTAAGAGCTGTGGAAATCGGCTTGAGGGGCAGGGGCAGGAGGGAGCTCCAAATAAATGGGACCTCAGATCCCAAAGCTCTTAACAAGGTTTTGGAAGGCCCACAGGGTTTCTCCTACAGCTGGGCAAGACTGAGGCCCAGAGAGGGTGGGGACCAGCCCAAACTCATATAGCAAGCCTGGGACAGATTCAAGATCCGGCTCTTTCTCTCCTGGCCCCCAGAGCCCCATCTGGCTGAGAGGGAAAGAAGCAAAGCCCACTGCGGATGTAGCAAACAAATGGCTCGTTTAATGACCCGCCCCTCCTTTCTTTCTTGCTCTCACCCAGGCCCGGAGGCTGTTTGATGTCTTACACGAGCCCTTCTTGAAAGTGCCCCGATGACCGCGGCTGTGAAGGAGGCCCTGTGAAGGAGGCCCTCGGTGTAACAATAAAGCCGTTTTCCTGGCTCAGGCTGCTGCTGGTGTGCTGGGGCAGTCACCGGGAGTGGGGATGGGGGAGTCCTCTGCACTTGCTCTCTGCTGGCCCAGGCAGTCACCTCCAGCTTTTCTTAACTGCAGCCCTCAGTTTCCCTGGAAGAGACTACACAGGATCCTGCTGTAGCTTCTTCCGCTTCTTCTCCCATCCTGCAGGAGCCACCTCCTCCCCCGACTCCAGACTCAGCGGCGGCTCGAGCATCTCCTGGGATGTCATCTCTGGCATCCCACTCCCCTGGCCCCGCTTCTTCCTCTTCTTGGTGGGCACTGGATCTGCCCTGGCCTCAGGCTCCCCCTCCTCTGGCAGCTGCAGCTCCATCACCTCCCCCTGTGGGTCACTGGTCTCGGCCCTTGGCTCCGCTGCTTTGTGGCCCCTTTCTTTCTTCTTCTTCTTCTTGGTGGATGCCTGCGGCTCAAGGTCCCCTGGTGGCTCAGGCTCCACCCAAGGCTCCGCCACCTCTGCCCCCGGCTCCCCCGCCGCGTTTTGCCATTTCTCTTTCTTCCTCCTCTTTTTGGTGGACACCAGAGCTGCCTCAGCCTGAGGCTCAACTTCGTGTGGTAGTTCAGGCTCCATTACCTCCCCTGGGAACTCCAGAGGGCCCATCTCCAGCTCTGTCGCCTCGGTCCCTGGCTCTATCATTACTTTGTACCCCTTTTCTTTTTTCTTCTTCTTGGAGGATGGCAGCAGGTTGGCTTCCTCCTGTGGCTCCAGCTGCAGTGGAGACTCGGCCGGCATCCCTTCCCCTGGCTCCCTCCCTTCTGTCCCCTTCTGCCTCTTCCTCTTCCTGGAGGGAGGGAAAACTGTCTCTTCCAGAGGCTCCCTTTTAATTGTGAGTTCCAGCTCCGCCGGCTTTTCTTCAGGTGCCAGTGTCTGCTCTTCTGGTTCGACCATTTCTGCCCCTTTGGGCTTCTTTTTCTTCTTCTTGGTGGTGGACAGAAATGGTGCCCCCACGAGCTCCGACATCTCAGCCATGGATTCTGCTGCTACGGGCTCCATCACCTCTAGCTGTTTTAGCTCCTGTTTTTTTTTCTTCTTCCCCACATCCACCTCTGGAGACCCCAAAGCTGTGTCCACCTCCAGGGCCCCAAGCCCATTCACTGCCTCCTGGGGAACTGAGGCCTCTGGTATATGCCTCTTCTTCTTCCTCTTCCTTGAGGCTGGTGACCTCAGTTCCAAGACCGACCCAGGCCCTGTTACCGGGAGGCTGCCTCCAAAGGCACAGAACCGAGGCCTCAGGCCAGGGGGGATCTGTGGTGGGGGGCTTGTTGGGATGGGCTGCAGCAGGGTCCCGGAGGGGGATTCTTGGGGACCGTCAAAGATCCTTAGGCTGCCCTGGGGGGCTGGGGCACAGGTGAGTCCACCTCCCGCTTCCCCTGAGGGAGCCAGCAGGATTGCTTCTCCAGCCTGGGGGCCGCTGCTTCTGAGGACCCGGTAGCGGTGCCGCTTGCCCGCCAACTTGCCCTTCACAATCCGGGAGCCCGAAAGAGGCACTAGCCGCCCATTGAGGCTGAAAGGAGAAAGAAGAAGGCAGAAGCTTCATCAGATTTTTCTGGTGAAAGGGAGGAAAGGAGCTGAGAAACAGCATTTTTTTTAAAAAGGTTTATTCATCCATTTGAGAGAGAGGGAGCACCAGCATGGGAGAGGGGCAGAGGGAGGCGGAGAAGCCAACGACCGCTGAGCGGGGAGCCAGATGCCGGGCTTGATCCCGGGACCCTGAGATTATGACCTGAGCCAAAATCAGACGCTTAACCAACTGAGCTACCCAGGCGCCCTGAATGCCCGAGGAAAGCCCCTCTAAACTCCACCCAAGTTCAGCCACTGGGGTGGGGGCGTATTCCCAGGAGGTGGCCTGGACCACTCACCAGTCTGGGGCGAAGTTTACAGGAGCCTGGATAAGCCACAGTTCCGTATCTGGATCCCTTAACACCTCCAAAGAAAAACGAGTGGGCTCTGAAGCTGGGGACGTCGCGGTGAAGGTGGGGGGACAGGAGAACAGAGCAGCACCTGCAGGAGAGGAAACGGGAGCCTGCTGACACTGCCCCGCGGATCCAATCCTCTAGGACGCCCATCGGCCCATTGGTCCAGCCTCCTGAGCGCCTCAATCCCCTCACCCGGCCTCTTCTCTCCTGCCTGTTCCCCAGGGGCACCCCAATCTCCACCGAGCCAATTCCTGGCGGCGCCCTTCCCTCCACCGGTAGTTTCCCCCACCCCATACCCTCCCTAAGCCCGAAGTTCCTTCCTCGCGGGAGATACTCTCTCCGCAGGTCCTGTCTCTGGGCAAGTCCGTTTTTCCGTCCGAACGCCCCCGGGGGCCCTTTCTCCTCCATTCAGCCAACTCTTTGCACCCCGCCAGCCCGTCCTGATGCCACTTACCGCCGGACGGGGTCCCCTCCATGCCGGGACCTGTGCCCCCCTCAGACCGAGCCGCCGAGAGCGGGGGAGCTGCGCAGCTGACCACGTGGAACCAGGGGGGTGGGGCTTCATCCGGGAGCGCCCATGTGGTGCGGGAGCGCGGGGGTGTCGCTCGGGGCCCGCTCGCTCTACGAGCAGAACTGGGGAGAATTTCCACTTGTGCAGAGCAGATAACCAAGGAAGACGTCTTTCCCCGAAAATCTGCTCCCCAAAGCAGCTGCTTGGCTGCTTGGCGGGAGTTAGAGCCTCACGGGGTCCCTGCGGGTATCCCCCCCAATCTCTCAGACATTATTTGCTCCAACGTCGCCTTAAAGGGGCAGCCACATTGGTAGCTCCCAACTCTTAAAGAGACAGGAAGCTCGAGTGGTCTGAGATTCTTAAAGAGACAGGTAAGAGTCTAGGTTGGCAGGGCCGTGCTTTCAGTGTTACAATCCCTTCTTGGGAGGCCCAGATGCCTGGGAAATTCGGAACTTGAGTGGGACAAGTGGGAAAATGGAGAAATGGGATAATTCCTCCGGAGGGCGTGAAGTACCAGTTTAGGGGCGGGGCTTCTGAACTCCTAGGGAGCGGGAAACGTAGGGGGAGGAGCCTGTGGGCCCCGGGGCGGGGCCTCCAGACTCCTGTGCTAAACACGCGTGGGGCGGTGCGGGCTAAGGGGCGGGGTTTGTGGACCAATGAGATAGATAGGATGCCCCCGAGGACTTAGTCTACTGCGTGGGGGACATTCCCGAAGGCTTTGAGGATGGGAGAGGGAGTAGAAGGTTTGATCAGCGCCCTTTCTCCGCCGGGGTGGGGGGTGGCGCGTGTAAACAGCGGCACGTGGACACAGATTTGGGGTTCGCGTCCACGCCCCTTTCCACAGAGACCGCACCGCTTGGGGCAGCGGGCGGAGCCGCGGGACGGCGGCTAGACAGGGTGACCCGACTGCATTCCTGGCCGGTGTGTCAGCGCCACTTCTCGCCCCCTCTGCCGTGATTTCGGATCCTATTCGAGAATCGGGGCGTCCCCGTTTCTCAGGGTGTGAGCGGCTTCCCAGAGCGGAAAGAGGGTCAGGGGAGGGGGACGCGTTCCTTCAGTCGGGGATCACCAGGCAGTTCCCCAGCGTGGGCGAAACACCCGGGCGCCGCCCCTGCGGGCTTCGAACTACAATTCCCAGAGGACGCGAGGAGGGGAGACGCCCGACGTCCATCGCGGAAGCTGCTGGGGATTGTAGTCCCAGCCTACGACTTTGGACTCAGTTGCTGGGTAAATCTGTAAAGATCCAACCCATCCTTTTTACCGACGGGGAGATCGAGCCTCAGAGACTCGAGGGTTTACTGATTTAGCGAGGCTCTCTTCTCGCCTTAGGGGCGGGGCATGTGAGTCTTTCCCAGCCTCCAACCTTCTACCTCTTTGGTGGCGTCCACACCTTCTTCCTAAGAAGGGGGAAACTAAGCCTGGAGGGGTGGGTAAGGGATTCAGGACGCTGTCTCCCTCAGTCACCGCGAGGTTAAAGTCGAGTCTATCTACGTGGTCAGGTCGCCCTCGGCTTCCGGTCCTCGCCCTTTCTGTCTGTGAAATGGACTTTCGGTGATTCCCAATGGGAACGTCTCAGGCTGCGTCCTGCCCCTCCAGGACTACAAGTCCCAAGGTGCTCGAGGCGACCCCTACTCCCCCTCCCCTCCGGGACCCGCCTCCCTCCGGCCGGAGTCACGTCGTCTAACCTGTTCCCGGCGCCTGCCCCGCCCCGTCCTGCGCTCCCCGCAGCCGGAGCCGGAGCCGGAGGAAGTCCCCCGGTGCCAGGATCTGCCCGGGATCCGTGAGTTCCACCCCACTGGGGTCCAGCGGCTCTGGAGGAGGCCGACACCGCGTCCCTGGGAGGACTGGGAGGGGACTCGGACGCTGAGTCCCAGGGTGGAATTGGGGGTGCGCAGATGCCAGGGTCCTTCGAAGGAAAGAACTCATATTTACTGGGCAAAAGTAAAGGGAACCCTGATGCCTGAGTTCTTGGGATGGAGGGCTCGGACGCCATGGTCCCGGGGAGACGCTGGAGCTGGGACTCCTCAATCCCACGAATTGGGCGTTCTCAGAAGCCTGAGTCTTTGAGGGGAATTGGGGTATCAGATGCCTGAGACCTGGGTAGAAATGACAAGACTCGGACTGATGGGGCTCTGGAAAGGGCGGCCATCCCTGACGCCCTCCAGCTGCTTTCTCCACCGAGCTTCTAGGTCTCGAGGCAGAATTAGGAGTGGGATGGGGATAGTGGAACTCGGGGCCCTGAAATGTAGCAGGACAAGCCCCCGAGGTCCCTCTGGAGGCTGGGTTCCGGCGCTCCCTACGCTTTCCGGCTCTGGGGTGGGAGCCGGGGGAGGGGGGACCGCGGCAGCTCTCCAACCTGCGTGCGGCTGCGAGATCCCCAACATATCATTAACCGGGGCGTCAGACCTGCCTAACCAGAGGAGGGACCTCCACCCCAGGGCGCCCCCTCGTGGGGGCGGGAGCCTCCCATTACCCCTTGGAGGTGGGAGATATTTGGGGTTTGCAGAGGGGGTTCTAGAACTCAGGGCAGAATTCCAGAAGGTGGGATTGGATTCTGGGAGGCTTGCATGGCTGGGCACGACACAGAGAGGACAGGGGTAAACTGAGGCTAAGAGGTCACACAGGTAGAGTTGATTAGCGTTTGGCCCCTTCTGAGCAGCTGTCTCAGATAGCAGAGCTGATCAGAGTTTGGCTTCCTCTTTCTTCTGCAGCTGTCTGGGGGACGGAATTCCATCCATTCCCACCAGATTTTCTGACTAACCTCCCCCACTCCTAGGGCTCCTCGCCCTGACCCTGAGGTGAGAAATGTCACCTCCACCCCCATGTGTCTGACCTGAGGTAGTGTGGGAGATAAGCGGGGGATAGAGGCTAATTCTGGAGGTGTGTGTCTGTCCTTGAAGCGGGGGAGGGCAGGGACGGGCGCCTCCCTCTGGCTGTCTCCCCCTTCTCTCCACCCCCATGTGACATGTGAGGGGATTGAACAAGGGGGTGGGGAAGGCAGGGGGTTCTGATGAGAGAGGGAAGAACTTCCTAATTGTCTGGGCTTGAAGGGCATTCGGTGATAGCCTGAGATGAAATTAAAAATAATAACCAACCATGGCTGCCAAGACAGAGTTCACAGCGTGCCAGGCTCAGCACTGGTAGGTAGATGGTTCCCACTGTCTACAGAGGTCTCAGGCAACTGCCCAAAGGTGGCTTGCTGACTCCACCCCAGGCAATGACTTCTCTCTACTCCACTGGGGAAACTAAGGCTGGAGAGCCCACAGCCTGGGCTTTTGCCACCTTCTCTCTGGAATCTTCCAGGGCAGCCTGTGCCCCTCTGCCAGATTTTTGGGCATGACCATGAGCCAGAACTCACAAATGTACAGGGAGAATTTAGGGTTTAGGAAGTTGAGACTCCAGAGGTCAAAACCCAGGGCTTTTAGACTCAGAAAGAGTTGAAAGGGCTCTTTTGGGGAAAAAAGATTCCTCTGGGTCTTTAGCCCTCACCGTGTGTCAGATCCTGTGTTATCTCAACGAACAGCCAAGGAAGGTCAGTAATTAAGAATCCTATATGTGTGACCTTTATTTGGTGCCCTGCGTTGTTCTAAACACTGTACATAAATTATGCCACTCAAACTTCACACCCTTCTGAGGAGAAGGTATTAATTCTCCCATCATACACACCAGGAAACTGAGGCACAGAGAAACTATATAACTAGTCCAGGGTAGAGACTTAAGAGAGGGGGAAGGCCCTAGCCTGTTCCACAGTCGTCCACAGAGGGGAAAACCAAGTCCCGGAGAGGGTGGGGTCTCTTCCAGCGTCAGTCTGTCCGGACAGAAATGTAGGAGTCCAACCAGGGTATTTCCAGCCTAGCCTGGCGCTCTGTCTCGGTTCCCACTGAGGATGATGAGTACTCCAGAAGCCCCCGGGATCCTTAACCCCGAAGAACTTGCTTGGCCTGGCCGTATGCATGAGTCCGGGGGACCGAGAGTTAGGGGTGGAGGGGAAGGGGAGGAATGGGAGCTGGGGTTAGAGGGTACCCAGGGGTGGACTAGAGCCCGCAGGAGGGGGAGCGGGAGCGGGAGCTGGAGGTGCAGGGCTGAGGCCTGGGAACGGCGGCGCGACGTGCGCCGCCCTTGCGCCCCGCCCGGCCCCCGCTCCCCTGCCGCGGGAGGTGAGGCACCTGCCCAGGCCCGCAGCGCATTCCCGGGGTCTGAGCTCAGGCACTGTCCGCCCGCGGGCCGTGACCCGGAGCGCCCCCTGGTGGCCCCGACAACCCCTCTGCCCGCACCAGCCCTGGGAGGGCGCCACGCCCAGCCTTGCCATTTCCTTAGGGCCAGAAGATGTCAGCGTGGGATCGGGAGTCTTAGAAATTTGGGAATCCTGAAATCCCCCAAAAGAACATCTCGCTGCCAGAATGCTGGCACCGGGAGGCTGCATAGAATTGTTCGTTTTCCTATTTTAACAGACGCAGAGTGTTTCCTGTGTATCTGAGCTTCTAAAAGCCCCAAGTTCTGATTCCTGGAGTCCATACTTTCTGAGGCCTGAATTCTCAGAGCCTTAATTCCTCTTGCACCCTCTGGCCAGTTGGATCCTCACTATAGTCCATATCTTCATTTTACAGATCAAGAGGCACTCTTGTCAGGGTCAGTGGTGCCCCCAGATTTGAACCCTGGAAGTCTGGCTCCTTACTTGTGATCTTACCCACTCCCCTAACCGTGCATTGAGCTAGACTTTTAGGGCAGCGGAATCTTGGGATAGATAGAACATGGTGCAGGAAGATGGAGAAATCGAAGCTAGCAAAACTGGAGAATTATAGAATGTTCCAAAGATAGAATCTTGGACTCAGAACTTTTGGACAAGAGACTCTCAAGCTGAGAGTTTTAGGCTCTGTAGAGCTTTAATAACAACCTCAAAGTCCTTACAATTTCAGAATCTAGGCCTCTGAGAGATTGAAGAGGCCTCTTAGAATTGCTGATTTGCCTCCTCCTTTCAGTTGGGGAAACTGAGGCCCGAGGAGTGGATGGGACTTGTTGCCCAAGGTCACACACTCCCAACACACCCAAATGAACCACCAGCCCCAACAGGTTCTGTTCCCAGGCTTCCCAGACAGAGGCCAGAATCAGCATGCCCCAGCCTGCCCCGCTGCCCACGCCTGCACCTCCAAAGCTAAGTGGTTGGTGCAGCCTGGGGAGGTGGCCAAGGTGGCGGGCGTGGTGGCTACCATGGGGATGGGGATGGTGCTGGCTTGACTGGTTCCTTGTGGCCTGGCTCCTTCCCACTGAGCCAGTGACCACAGCAGCCCAGCCACCCCCAGCCACCTCCCTGTTCTTCCTGTGAACACTGGGTACCCGTGAACAAGGTCGACTCTGGGGAGAGGAAGCTGAGTGGTCCCTGCCCGCTGGGACTCTTCCAAGTCTGGTCGAGGCAACCTAGACTAACAAGTTAGATCCAGGTGTGAAACCTAATACAGCTGACTCCTTCCAAGCTGATCTTGAACAAATAGTTCTTAGCCCCATTTTTTTGCCTGCTACTGTGACTTTGACCATTAAATGCGGTATCGGGTGCAAGCCTTTGGCACAGTTCTAGGAGGCCATGGCCCCTCAGTTAATAGTTGTTATTTTATTTCATTATCCCCTCAAGCAACCATCACAGGTACACAGTAGGCAGCACAATTATTATTAAAAAATATATATATATATATATCCCTAGTGGGGCGCCTGGGTGGCTCAGTCAGTTAAGCATCTGCCTTTGGCTCAGGTCATGATCCCAGTGGTCCCGGGGTCGAGTGCCGAGTCGGGCTCCCTGCTTGGCAGCCTGCTTCTCCCTCTGCTTCTGTGGCTCCCCCTGCTTGTGCGCGCGTGTGCTTGCTCTCTCTCTCTAATAAATAAATAAAATCTTCAAAAAAATTAAAAGATCCCTAGCATAAAAAAAAAGTGATATCCCTAACATCTAGCATAGGGTCTCCTGGCCCTAGTAGGCACTCAGGAATTGATAGTTACTTTTGCCTCCTTTGTTCCCCCAAATGCCTGGCACACAGTAGGTAATCAGTGCATAATTGTTGAAGGAGTGATTCAAGGCTTATTAGGACTGACCTAGAAAGATGGACAAGGAGCTACGTCAAGCGAGTGAATTGTCCAGAGCCATCCAGGAGGATTTGAAGGAGTTGGCATTTTCCAGCCAGGGAAGTGGAAGGGCATAGTGCTTCCAGTGGAAGGAGCTAGGAGAATCAAGGCTCTGTCTGGCTGCTCTATGACCCCTGGTTCCCTGTGGGCGGGGTCTGAGAAGGCTTCCCCCCCCACCACCCACACACCTCCGTAGGCGCCCCGCTTCCGCCGGCACCATGGACAGCGAGGCATTCCAGAGCTCGAGGGACCTTCTGGACCTGAACTTCCAGTGTGAGCTGGGGTAGGGGGCGGGGCTTGCTCCGGAGAGGCCCTCAAGGGTGGAGGCAGGGCGCTGCCCGGAGGCTCCGGGCCTTACTGCTCCTCCCTCCTGCCCAGCTCTGGCCATGAAGCACATGGACCTGAAGCAGATGGAGCTGGATACAGCGGCGGCCAAGGTGGACGAACTGACCAAACAGCTGGAGTCGCTGTGGTCAGACTCGCCCACACCTCCCGGCTCGCAGACTGGAGCCCCCCCTAGGGTGAGCCTACTCGCCTCGGTCCCCACCTTGGCCCCCAAAGCCGGCTTCTTTCTGCCTGGGGTTCTGCCCCATCGGGTTGTACAGGCCGTGGGCTATTTAAGGGCACTTGAAAGAGGGGACCAGTATAAATGGACATCTCACAGGACCCTTGGAAGAAAAGGGTCTTTTTCTAAGAGGCAGAAGGACACCGTACCGGCTAGCCTCAGCCCTGATTTCAGGGCCGTCTTGCCAGTACCGCTCACCAGGGCTCCCTATGCCTCACTCTCCGGCCCCGGCCCAACTCCCCTAGGTTAATTTCCGATGACTTCTTTTGATCTACTAACCCCTCTCCTAATGTCTCCTTTGACCCCTCAATGTCTCGGCCTCCCCACAGCTGTCCCGGTACAGCTTCAGCCCGGTCCCCGAGCCCTTCAGCAGCCGCGGGTCTCCCCGGAAGGTGGCCACCGACGGTGCAGACACCTCGTTCGGACGCTCCGAGAGCGCCCCGGCTTTGCACCCCTACAGCCCGCTGTCCCCGAAAGGCCGGCCCTCGTCACCGCGCACCCCGCTCTACCTGCAGCCGGATTCCTACGGCAGCCTGGACCGCGCGCCCTCGCCCCGGCCCCGCCCCTTCGATGGCACAGGCAGCCCCCTCGGCCGTGCGCCCTCCCCGCGGCCCGGATCGGGCCCGCTCCGCCAGCAGGGTCCCTCCACGCCCTTCGACTTCCTGGGCCGCGCTGGTTCCCCGCGGGGCAGCCCCCTGGCCGAGGGGCCCCAGGCCTTCTTCCCCGAGCGCGGGCCCTCGCCTCGCCCCCAGACTTCAGCTTATGACACGCCCGTGGCCTTTGGGAGCCCCCTACTGGGCGCGGGCGGTAGCGCTTTCGCCCCACCTCTGCGCGCTCAAGGTGAACGAGGGGGCCTCCTTTGGGGGGGTGGGAGGGATGCAGGCCTGGGACCAGCCTCCCGTTATATCCCAATTCGCCACCTCTCCCTAGACGACTTAACGCTGCGCCGGCGGCCCCCCAAAGCCTGGAATGAGTCTGACCTGGACGTGGCATACGAGAAGAAATCTTCACAGACAGCGAGCTACGAACGTGAGTGGTGGGAGGCCAGAGGAAGGGGGGAGCCAGGAGAGGTAGCCCCCAGACCCTAATGATTCGCGCCTCGCAGGCCTGGACGTCTTCTCGCGGCCTGCTTCGCCAGGCCTGCAGCTGTTACCCTGGAGAGAGAGCAGCCTGGACGGGCTGGGGGCCACCAGCAAGGTGAGGGGCGGCTGGGGAGGGGGCTGGTGGGCAGGGGCCGGGAGTGCGGTCAGGACCACCTCCCATTCCTGGCTGCACCCCCAGTCTCCGTGCCCTCCACCCCAGGCTCTTCCTTTTTCATCCTGGATTTCCACCCTGTCCCTGACCCCCTTTGCCTCACTCCCTCTGGTTTCCCTCACCTTCTCTCCCTTCTTGACCTTTTGTCCTTACCTCCTTCCCCCTCCTCCTTTATCATTCCCTCCCCCTAACTTCCTCCCACCTGAACCCCTTCTTTCCTCCTTCCTTCTTTCTCCCCCAGGACAACCTCACCAGCGCCACTCTGCCCCGCAATTACAAGGTCTCCCCTCTGGCCAACGACAGGCGATCTGATGTGGGCAGCTACCGCAGATCGCTGGGCTCCGCGGGGCCATCAGGCACTTTGCCCCGCAGCTGGCAGCCTGTCAGCCGCATCCCCATGCCCCCTTCCAGCCCCCAGCCCCGCGGTGCCCCGCGCCAGCGCCCCATCCCCCTCAGCATGATATTCAAGCTGCAGAATGCCTTCTGGGAGCATGGGGCCAGCAGGGCCATGCTCCCTGGCTCCCCCATCTTCTCCCGAGCACCACCGCCTAAGCTGCCTCCCCAGCCCCAGGCACCCCCTCAGCCTCAGCCACCCCCTCAGCCCCAGCCCCAGCTTCCTCCCCAGCCCCAACCCCAACCCCAACCACAGCCCCAGCCTCAAACCCCTGCCCCTCAACCTCCCCAACAGACTTGGCCCCCTGTGAGTGAAGGTGAGTCAGCAGTGGGGGGGCCCAGAGGGCTGCTTAGAGGGAGGACAAATGGCTGGGGACCAGAACAGCTGAGGGAGCCGTCACAGCCAGACACTGTCCCTGCAGAGAGCAAGGCTAGAGGAGCTTGGGAATTTGCTCAGGAGCTAGGGATAGCACGGTGGTTAAGCATGGACCCTGAATCAGACTGCCTGACTCCAGGCTGTGTGACCTTGGACAAGTCACTTAACCTCTCTGGACCTCAGTTTCCTTGCGTGTAAAAGGTGATAGAGCCCATCTTACTGATTATGGTATTGGATTATTTAATCCATATAAAGTCACTGAAATAGGGCCTGATGTGTAGGAAGATCTCAATAGCTATTATATTAGTTACAATAATTATTAATATGTTTGTGTGCGTGAGACCAGCACAGGGCCTAGAGTTAAAACAGATTGGGTTTTGAGCCCCTCTCCACTGCTGACTTGCTTGCTGTATGACTCAGGATAAATTAGCTAACCTATCTGAGCTTCTGTTTTGTCATCTCAGAAAAGATTAATAATATCTACCTCGTAGATTGTGAGGGACATTCAATGAAATAACTTGTGTAGAGAGTGATCATTACTGTTTTTACCTGCTTTAGAAGCTCTGATAGAGAGAAATAAGACCAAGAGACCATCAGGCACCAGGACTCTAGTCCCAGCAAGAGTATTCTGCCTGAGAGGGTAGGCAAGGAAGTTCTCAGAATCTCAGCAAGTCAAGGCCAATCTGATGGTAGGAGCACAAGATTCAGAAGTCAGAGGGCCCGGAATGCAAATTGCACTGGCTTTGGGCAACTGACTTCCCCTCTCTGATGCTCAGCTTCTCTCTCTGTAATAAGGAAGTGATAGCAGTATCTACCTCACAAGGTAGTGGTGAGAATTCAGTAAGGCAGGCACATGCTAAGTGCTTGATAAAATGGGAGATGTCACAATCAGACTATTCACAGCCCACGGAAAGTAGCCCAGAGAGAGCAAGGAACTGCCCCGAGGTCACACAGCGAATCAGATGCTGGCTACGGGTCCGGGAAGTTGTGGACGTGGAGAGGGGAGTCTTGGGGTTCTCCCAGGGACCCATTCTCTGATGGGCTCTGTGTTCCTTCTAGGCCCCCCCAAGCCTCCCCCTGAGCTGGAGCCTGAGCCGGAGCTCGAGGGGCTGCTGACGCCAGTGCTGGAGGCTGGTGATGTAGATGAAGGCGCTGTCACCCGGCCCCTCAGCCCCACGAGGCTGCAGCCAGCACTGCCACCCGAGGCACAGTCAGTGCCCGAGCTGGAGGAGGTGGCACGGGTTCTGGCAGAGATACCGCGGCCCCTCAAACGTAGGGGATCCATGGAGCAGAGCCCCGCTGTAGCCCTGCCCCCCACCCACAAGAAGCAGTACCAGCAGATCATCAGCCGCCTCTTCCATCGTCACGGTGGGCCTGGGGGGCCTGAGCCCGAACTGTCCCCCATCAGTGAGGGATCCGAAGCGAGGGCAGGGCCCCCTGCTCCTGCCCCACCAGCTCTCCTCCCACCCCCAGCCCTGCCCCAGATCAGCCCACCAGAGCAGCTGCAGAGCATGGTAAGTAATATAGGAGGACACGGGGGGGTCTATTAGCACACGGAAGCACCCCTTCCCTTTTAGGACAGGACCTGGAAATTGCACCCATCACATCTGCCTCTTCCAGTGGGCCAGGAACCCTGCTGCAAGGGAGGCTGGGAAATGTAGTCTTTAATCCAGGTGTTGCCTGTGTTCTGAAGACAAGGAGAATGTCTAGGGAGAGGCATTCACAAGTCTTGGCCACACAGAGACTCTCTGCTCCGCCCGATAACCAGCCCCCAAGGGCATCTCTTCAGGAATCTCGGAATCTTACCACCTGGAAATGAGTGTGTCAGTGTGTTTCTTCCAGGACCTGAAAAGCCTGCCTGAATCGAGACAGTCACCATTTCTCTCCCCAGCTGCTACACGGTCTCTCATGTCTGCCTTCTCTGGGGATCGCTCTCTCCCCTCAGACCTCAGCAAGCCTGTGCTATGGCTAGAAATGGCGACTGAAAATGACCTCTTACTTCAGGCTCATGGTGTCCTCTGACGCTGTTCAGAGCTGCTTTCATTCAAAATCGCAAGAGCAAGTCTCTGGTCTCTGAGGCTGTGGGCGTTGTGATAAAGGGCACCAGCTGCAGAGCTAGGCTGCCTGGTTCATATCCCAGCTCCATGGCATATATCAGCTGTGCGACCTTGTTGTGCAAGATACTTAGCCGTTCTGGGCCTCAGTGTCTTCATCTGTAAAATGGGGATGAGAATAACCATAGGATTACTGTGAACATTAAATATATGAATACAGTGCTTAGAATAGTGCTTGGCACTTAATTGTTAACCACTATTATTATTGTTAGCATTTGACCAGGATGGTGGCCTTCTAAACTTGCTCCAGTCCCTGTGTCTTGGCTGGGGGTGGGTAGTGTCTGTGGAACAGTCCTGTTCTCTCAGTGTGGATAGACAGAGAGAGGTGAACGATTCCCAGGGAAGAAGCAGGGGCCAGGTAGACACCCAAAATGCCTATTCCCAAGCCCTCCTAAAGTTGGAGCCAGGAAATGTTGAGATCCAGGATCTGGAAATCAAGAACAGAAGAATGAAATCACCTTATAGAATCACAAAGTCCTAGCCATAAAGAAACTTGAACATTCACAGAATTCAAGAATTAAATCCTGTTCTCAGTCTCAGAACAGTGACCTTCAGAATCCTGAAGAGCCAAAGTTTCAAAGAACAGGATCTTAGCATTTAAAAGTTAGTAACACCGACCATGGTTATTAAGTGATTCGTGAAGTCACCAAAACTGAAAATTAAAGACTCTTCTCATTTGAATCAGAAAATCACAGATTAGTGCACTAATATGTTGAAATACAGAATTCTGTTTTGTTATTTTTTTAAAGATTATTTTTTTAAGTAATCTTTATACCCATCATGGGACTTGAACTCACAGCCCCGAGATCAAGAATCTCATGCTGTACCCACTGTGCCAACTGGGTACCCCCAGAATTGTATTGTAAATGAACATTTTCCACTAGAGAAGAATACACAAACACCATAGTAACTAGGAGGAAATACAAAAAAGAATAAAGAGGCCAAAAATCACAGCACTCAGAACCATGATTAACATTTTAAGTATCTCCTTCCAATCTGTTGGAATGAAATTCTAACCATAAAACATTAACGTTCCCAATCACAGAATCTTGGGAATGCAGCATCTTGGGTCTTCAGCAATTTGACATGGCATAACTTAGCATTCCTGGACTCAACAATATTGGAAATTCGAAATAGCTGAACCTCAGAGAATTTTGAAATCTTTGGCTCTTGGGATCTTCAAATTCCGGGATCTTGAAATCATCGACATCAAAGACCAAAATCACAAAATGCTGTATGCTCCGAATAAATGAATCTGGTAGGAGGACCCATGAGCATCAAAAATAAGAAAATAACAAGGAATAAAAAAGAAAGAAAACACAAGGAATAATAGGCTAAATAATCTCATTCCAAACATCTGGAATTAACATTGGACAACAGTTTGTCATGTGTGTTTCATAGTATTTATGTTTTATAAAAGCAGTAAGACTGTGGACGGGTTGAATATCTGGCTTCTATGAATCATCAACGCTTCCTTTCAGGTCTCAGGGGCCAAGATCCTATACTCACCAGATTCCCTGACTGTTGTAAGGAATCAAAGGCTATAGAACTGAGGACATTCCCTTCCCCATGGCCGTCTGGACTCAGGCTCTGTACTTCCCTGCCTTCCAACCCCAGCCCTACCCCTGTCTAGTTGGTTGAACTGGGGCGGCTGCCGCCGTGTCCCTGAACCTCTATTTTCCTCTGTAAGTAATAGGTATATTAACAATACCCCCAAGTCACTGAAGCCCGCCCCCACCCCCTGCCCTGTCCCCCCCAGGAGATGCGCTCGGTGCTGCGGAAGGCGGGCTCTCCGCGCAAGGTCCGCCGCGCGCGCCTCAACCCGCTTGTGCTCCTGCTGGACGCCGCGCTGACCGGGGAGCTGGACGTGGTGCAGCAGGCGGTGAAGGAGGTGCGTGCTGCCAAAGTGCAGGGCAGGCGGGGTGGGGGCGGCGGACGCGGGCTGGCCGCCGCTGGGGACTGAGCCTCCGCGTCCCCCGCCCCCCGCACCCAGATGAACGACCCGAGCCAGCCCAACGAGGAGGGCATCACCGCCCTGCACAACGCCATCTGCGGCGCCAATTACCCCATCGTGGACTTCCTCATCGCGGCCGGCGCCAACGTCAACTCCCCCGACAGCCACGGCTGGTGAGCTCTGACCTTGACCCGTGCGGGGCGGGCACCGGGCGGGCGCGGGGCGGGACCGCGCTGCTGGCCGGGGCACCCACGGGCGAATGCGCGGCCACTCACGCACGCCTCCACGCCTAGGACACCGTTGCACTGCGCGGCGTCGTGCAACGACACGGCCATCTGCACGGCGCTGGTGCAGCACGGCGCAGCAATCTTCGCCACCACGCTCAGTGACGGAGCCACCGCCATCGAGAAGTGCGACCCCTACCGCGAGGGTTACGCTGACTGCGCCACTTACCTGGCAGGTGCGAGGCACGCTTCTGGGGGAGGGAGGAGGTTGTGGGGACTCGGCCGCCCAGCTGGCAATTGCAGAGAGGGAGGGGGCAGACTGCGGACCAATCAAGTGGCAGGATCACAGAGGAAGGGCGGCGGGATGGACCACCTGCGGGGGAGGGGGACAGGGCGTCCCAGCTGGCAGGTGCAAGCGGGCTGTGTGGGGTGAGCAGACTGCCAACCTCGAGGGATGGGGGGACACGGGCACTGTGCCATGCAAACTGGACACCTGTAGGGAGAAGAGAAGTCTTGGAGATTGCACTGTTCACCTGCTTTCTCACTTGCGGGCGTGGGGAGTTGGCCGTTCCAATGATACCACTAACCGGGCATAGGGCTGGGCAGGTGGGCTGTGCTCCGTGTGGGAGACACAGGGCCACACACCTGGCAGGTGAGCAGGCCATGGCTTCTGGGGAGGAGCTTGGGGACTCTTCCACCTGGAGGGAGACACGCGGCTTCCCTTATGGGGGGGGGGGACAGATCACCTAACCAGGTGATGGGAGGAAGTAGGTAGCCTGTACCAAGGACTTCTGCAGAGCGTCCGTATTACACACCTGGGGTGGGTGGGCAAACTGTATGATAGGGTGGGGTTAGGAACATCACAGAGCTGGAGTGAGTCAGGCTCTAGGACTCACTGTGTGTGTGGGGGGAGACAATGTTTTTGAGAGGTGAGCCTCTAAGGCCACACGAGAGCCCTCTGTACCACCTAATGGCAGGAACTGGAGGAGAGCCTTGGGGCTTATGGGTGAGCAGGGGTAGACAGGGACTGCACCACTGGGGCACGAAATAGACTATAAGCTTCGGGGAGGGGCATTGGGCCCTTACACATTTGTACAGGGAGGTGGAGCCTCTGAGATGTGGAGCTTGGACTGTTCTGTCTGCATCCGACATGGAGAGTTTTGTGAGGGTCAGGTAGAGGTTGGACACCCAACCTGGCTGGGAAGAGAGCCGGAACCGGAACCCGGTGGACTGAACCACCACAGAGAGGGAACAGTGTTGACTGTACCATTTGGAAGGGGAGGCTAAATTCTTGATGGAAATATTACCATTTAACGGGGCGGGAGTGGGGGATGGGCTATACCCTCTGGAGAAGTTATTGCATCCTCTGGAGATTTTGTCACTTGGGGAGGGGAAGCAATGTGGACTCACCATCTGGAAGGGGGAGGTGGGAGCACTTAGGGGGAGGCGGGGAAGGGCTGTACCATCGGAAGGAGGGGTTGAGATTATGGAAACTGTCCAGCTTGGCGGGGCGGGGGGGGCGGTCCGCAGCCGACCGCACCTCTGGGAGTGACACAGGGACTTGATGATGTTCATGAGGGGATGGGGACCACTGACCCTGCCTCGGGGTTTGGAGGCCCCAGTTTGATGCACCCTGATGTTCTCGAATTCCAGAGACTGCCAGTCCTTGGCGGGTGACTCCAGCTTAGGCGCCCCTCTCCAGACAGGGTTACACAACTTTGCAAATGGCTCCTGCCTCAGCTGTGTGTATGTGTGGGCGGGGTGCCACATCCCAGGGCCTGTCCCTGTCCTCAGCGTGTCTTGTGTCCCTGAGTGTTCCAACTCCTCCACCCCCCACCCCCAACCGGGCGTTCACAATCTGTGCCCGTTTATGTTTCAGATGTGGAGCAGAGCATGGGGCTGATGCACAACGGGGTGGTCTACGCCCTCTGGGACTACAGCGCGGAGTTTGGGGACGAGCTGTCCTTCCGCGAGGGCGAGTCGGTCACTGTGCTGCGGAGGGACGGACCCGAGGAGACGGACTGGTGGTGGGCCGCACTACATGGCCAGGAGGGCTACGTACCCCGTAACTACTTCGGGGTGAGCCCGGAAGAGATATATATTATATCAGCGTCCTGGGACTATTTGGGGAAAGGGGTTGATTCTGGGAAAAAGAGGAGCAAAAGGGACAGTCCATTCCACTGGGGGCAAGGGAGGTCAGAAGAATCCATTATGGGTCGTGGGGAGATGAGGACCTTACAGTTGGGGGAGAAAGAGCCCCTTCCTTGTGGTACTTTGTGGGGAACTCACTGCCTTACTAGTTATTTGATTGGTTCATGCTCAATCAAATATTTATTTTTAAGATTTTATTTATTTATTCATGAGAGAGAGAGAGAGAGAGAGAGAAGCAGAGGGAGAAGCAGGCTCCCAAGGAGCAGGGAGCCCAATGCGGGACTCGATCCCAGGACCCCAGGATCATGACCTGAGCCGAAGGCAGCCGCTTAACCAACTGAGCCATCCAGGCGCCCTCAATCAAATATTTTTTATCATCCCTAGTTATATTACTGGGGAGTCAAGGAAGAATGTATTTTAGCCAAGGGAAGCCATGAAGAATCCCATTTCAGTAACCGAGGGGAAGTTAAAGAATTGTGTATTAATGGTGTAGTGGTGAGGAAGCTTTTGTTACACTGCAGGGGGCAGGGGGAGGAAGAATCCATTATTAAAATGATGGTAGAATTGAGGGAGGTTGCACTAGGTTAAGGGAAGAGTCCAGAAGATCCCATTATATTCCTAGGGGAGAAGATTCTTTTAATTTGGGGATGGGCAGAGGTAGGTCCCAACGAGACAGCCGTGGTGGTAGGGAGAAGCAGGTGTTTCTTTCATGGCAGTATGGACGACTCAGAAAATTCAATTTCATCAACTGGGCTGCTGAGTCTAAGCCTCTATCTGGTGCTTGGTCGTGACAGGGGCCTTGGGGATTCTGGAGTGATTTGGGAGTCAGCTGAAGGAGTCTGTTAGGAAGGGCGGGGAGGATGGAGACAGCACACCTATTTGGGGGTGGATTAGGTGACTCCATTAAAGTGTAGGGTGGGATGAAAGAGAGAGAGTTCCTGGTGTCTAAAGATCCTGCCTTCCCTCAGCTCTTTCCCAGGGTGAAGACTCAGAGGAATAAGGTCTAGCTGCACAGAAGGACGTTGCCAAGGGAGGCAGGAGGGAGCAGCCTTGCCTTTGCCCCAGACCTCTTCCTCAGTAACTGCTGCGTCTCTTTGGGCCCCAAGCCCTACAGGGTTGGGGTCCTCACCTCTAGCTCTCTGCTTCCCTGGAAGCCCAAGGGAGAAGGAGAACCTCAGCCTTGCATTTAGAAACTGCCTTAGCCACGGGAGATCACCTTGAGGCTGGGAATCATTGGAGGCAAGAGACTCCCCCACCACCTTCCTCCATTTCCAAATCAGATCCCGTCCAAAGTGCCTCCCACTCCTACTGCCAACCCCTCCCACCCCTTCAAAACAAGCTAACACACCATCCTAGGGGAGCCTGGGATGTGTCACCTCCACTGGATTTCCCTGGGAGTCACCTCTGCCCCCATCTCTCCAGGGCTGGGCGAGACACCCTGGTCTCCCACCTCTCCCCAGTCAAGTGCCTTCACCCAGTGCTGGTTTTATAACCAAATGGGGACATTTTTCCTTATAAATAAAGGTAGTTTGCACCAAAATTGACTTCCCTCTCTTTGGATCCCCCTCTGACCTAATAAGTGCTCATCACCCTTACGGATTTCGACAAACCAGTTTTAAGGAAGCCCCTTTCTAAGGGATTTCTGTCATGTAGATCCAATACTTCTTCCAAACACACCTGTTTTTTGTGGGGGTTTTTTTATGGGGGGAGAGGGGGTTTTTTGTTTTTTGTTTTTTTGGTAGTGTCTTGATCTTTTTTCATGTTTTGGATTCTTCCTTTATGTCTTTAAACATTTTAAGCTTATTTTATGGTGTATGTATGATAATTCTATAGTCTGAAGTTTGGGGCCATCTACTTTTATAATTTGCTGTGTCTGCTGGTTCTCACTCATGGTGGATTTTTTCCTCGTGTGTGTTGAAATTATGGATTGGGAGACCGTCTTCAACAAGGCTTTATCTTCCCGAAATCCAGGCGGCCTTGTTGAGGGTGTGACCCTGAAGAGTGACTTTCCTTTGCTTCTGCCCCCACTTCTTTATTGTGTAAACTGATTTTTGGTAAAGCACAGGCATATATCTCCTCTGTGTATTTCCTGACAAATCCTAAGGCGACAGCATTGTTGTTGTCTGAGATGTCCAATACCATAGCCACCCACCTCATGTGGCTATTTAAATTTAAATTAATTAAAATTAAATAAAAATTAAGGATCATCTCTCAGTCATGCTGTCCACTTTTCTAATGCTCGGTAGCCACGTGTGGCTAGTGGCTACCATCTTGGGCAGTGCAGATAAGAGAACATTTTCATCATCCCAGAGAGTTCTGTTGGATAGAGCTGATAGGCAACATCTCCATTATAAAGAAGTTCCATGGTGCCTCCTCCCAGTCAACCACAGTTGTGATTTCTATCACTATTGATTAGTTTTCGTGAATATACTTTATTTTTACTTTTTTAAAAAGATTTTGTTCATTCATAAAATCTTTAAAAAAAAAGTGAGAGAGAGAGAAGGAGCAGGGGGAGGGGCAGAGGGAGAGGGAGAAGCAGACTCCCCACTGAGCAGGGAGCTCTGAAGTGGGACTCGATCGCAGGACCCCAGGATCATGACTGGAGCCAAAGGCAGATACTTAACTGACTGAGCCACCTGGGTGCCCCGATGAATATACTTAATTTTTTCTTAAACATTTTATTCATTTATTTGACAGCGCGAGAGAGCACAAGCAGCGGGAACAGTAGAAGGAGAGGGAGAAGCAAGCTCCCCGCTGGGCAGAGAGCCCAACTCAGGGCTCGATCCCAGGACCCTGGGATCATGACCTGAGGCGAAGGCAGACGCTTAACCAACTGAGCCACCCAGGCGCCCCCAATGAATATACTTTAAAAACCAAATAGTACTGGGGTACCAGGCTGGCTCAGTGGGAAGAGCATGCGATTCTCGATCTTGGGGTCATGAGTTTGATCCCCACATTGAGTGTAGAGATTGCCGAAAAAAAAAATCAAACTATACTAAAATGTTTATGAAAAAAAGCAGTCCTCTGTGCCATCTCTCTCCACTCCCCTCTGCTCTCTAGAGGCAACCACTTTCAACTGTTTTACCTGTTTCTTCTAGTATTTTCTTCCATGTTTCTAAATAGGCTGACCTGCTATTTCTTGATAGCCAATTTTAGACATTCTCTTTCGATGCTTGAGCTCATGCATCCACCACTTTCCCTCTCCCAATGAAATCATGTCATAATTTTTATCAGTCAATAGTTTTCACAGTGTGATACGTAAATGTTTTTACTGTAGAGCCTTGTAATATACTAGCATTTTCTTTCTCATACAAACTTTAAAATTTTTGAGAATTGATAATTACCTTTGTCACATGCTTAATTTTATATGTATTTTTCAAATGTTCCATGGGACTGTCCATACTCCTATCAGTTCACAAGCTTTGTTTCTTTTTTTCCCTCCCTCTTGAAGTCCTGTCTCTTACTTTAATCTGGACCTGCTGCCCTTTAGGCCTGTGCTAAGCTATCTGAGGACATCCCCAAGTAGGACACTATTTCCCGGATCCCATGTCTTCATCTTAACTTGGTTGACTCTTCATTTTGGTGGAGCACATCCTCCAGTTCTCTTAAAAGGGTGAAGAAGAGGTAAATATTTTTGAGTTCTTAAAAACTAAATATAGCTTCATTCTACCCTCCCACTTTATTATAGTTTGGGTGGGGTATAAAGTTCTAGGTTGGAAATATATGTATCCTTTTTCATTCAAATCTCTCTGCACCCTGAGTTGGAATGCAAGTTTAGAGAACAAGAGAAAGCTGTTTTTCCCCTTAGATTTGTTTCCATTCTCCCTTTCCTTTCCTTTGAACTTGTATTTGACTTTTTTTTTTTTTAAGGGAGAGAACGACAGTGGATGGGGGAGGGGCACAGGGAGAGGAAGGAATCTCAGACTCCACAGTCAGCATGGAGCCTGCCGTGGGGTTTGATCTCATGACCTGAGCCAGTATCAAGAGTTGGACACTTAACCAAGCCACCCAGGTGCCTCTTGACTTTTTTTTTAAGTTGCTTGCCTTTTTTTTTTTTTTTAAGCTTTTTGGCCTCTTGGCTTTTTTTCTGGAAGATTTTGCAATCTTCCCTTTTTCTCTGGGTCTGAAAATTCATTCATATGCCTTACTGTAGTCTTTATCCATTAGTCATTCTGACCTTAAGTCTGTCCTTTCGATCTGGAGAGTCCTACCCTTTGGTTCCGGGAAATTTTCTTATCTATTTCTGTGCTGATTTCTTCCCCTTCATTTTCTTGCCTTTTTTCTGGAATCTTCATTATTTGGATGTTGGACCTTCTGAGTTCAGCCTTCAATTTTCTTATGTTTTCACTACTATTTTCCAGTCCTTTGTCAATGTCCCCTTACTTTCTAGATTCCCTTGACTTTAATCCTTCTCTTAAAATTTAAGTGTCATCTGTAATTTTGTTTTTTTTTAAAGATTTCTTATTTACTTATTTGAGAGAGAGAGAATGAGAGACAGAGAGCACTAGAGGGAAGAGGGTCAGAGGGAGAAGCAGACTCCCCACTGAGCAGGGAGCCCGATGTGGGATTCGATCCCGGGACTCCAGGATCATGACCTGAGCCGAAGGCAGTCGCTTAACCAACTGAGCCACCCAGGCGCCCAGTGTCATCTTTAATTTTGAATTCCCAAGAACCTTTCTTGTTACTTAATTATTCATTCTTGGCATACCCTCCAGCCCTTACTTTATAAATGCAGATATTTACTGTTATCTCGCAAAGTATTTCACAAAGTATTTAGTTACAGGTGTTTTGTGATTCTTTTGTAAGCTTTCTTGTTTTTTTCTGTATAATGTTTGTTTCTTCTGGGCTTCTTTATTCAGTCTGATCTCTCTTTTTCACAGCAGAGGTATGTTAGTTTCCTATTATTGCCGTAACAAATTACCAGGAACATGGTAGCTTAAATAACACAGATTTATTATCTTGTAATTCTTGGGTTCAGAAATCAGAAATGGGGACCTGAGGGGATGATTGAGCCAATTTAGGCCACTCACCTTGGCCTCTGAGTGGCTGCCAGCATGACCAGCCAGTGGCAGGGCATCTAGCAACTGCTGTGGGCTGAGAAGTGGGAGGCTGAGAAGGTGTGGGAGGCCTACAAGCAAAAGAACTGGAGGCTGAAGCCGACCAAAGAAGCTCAGACTGAAACTGAACAGTACTGCCTGCAAAGAGAGAAGGAGTTCAAGGCCAAGGAAGCTGTGCTCTGGAGTGGAGAAGGAGACGCAGGAGAAGATGACCATCCTCCAGGGCGCCTGGGTGGCTCAGTTGGTTAAGCGACTGCCTTCGGCTCAGGTCATGATCCTGGAGTCCTGGGATCGAGGCCCACATCGGGCTCCCTGCTCGGCAGGGAGTCTGCTTCTCCCTCTGACCCTCTTCCCTCTCGTGCTCTCTGTCTCTCATTCTCTCTCTCGCAAATAAATAAATAAAATCTTTAAAAAAAAAAAAAAAAAAGATGACCATCCTCCAGCAGAACAGGGATGAAATCCTGGATAACTTCTTGGCCTTCATCTGTGACATCCGGCCAGAAATCCACGAAAACTATTGCATAAATAGAAAGGGAAGGAAGGAGCAGCTCTGCACGTGGCTTGGCATTTTATTTATTTTTTAAGGTTTTATTTATTTATTTTAGGGGCGGGGAGAGTGTGAGCCTGGGAAGGAGCAGAGGGAGAGGGACAAGCAGACCGTGCACTGAGCGGGGAGCCCGATGCAGGGCTCGATCCCATGACCCTGAGATCATGACCTGAGCTGAAGGCAGACACTTAACCCACTGAGCCACCCAGGCGCCCTCCTTTTCCAGTTTCTAGAGGCTGCCTGCATTTCTACCAACGATCTGTTTATGATGAGTTAGGTATTCTCTGAGATGATACAGGTTTTCTCTACCTTGCTCCTCACTTCCTGCCGAGTCCCCACCAGCAGAATTGTTAACATCCATACTTCTACTAACAGTCTTCAAGGCAATCGAGGCTTTTCCTATTATCTTCTCAACATTCTTCCAGCCTCTGCCCATTGCCCAGTTCCACATTCCAAATCCACATGTTTAGGTATTTGTTGCATTGACACCCCACTTCCAGGAGCAAAGTCTGTGTTAGTTTCCCATTACTGCTGTAACAAAGTATCACAAGCACGGGAGGCTTCAACAGTACAAATGTATCATCTTACAGTCTGGAGGTCAGGCATCTGACATGGGTCTCGTGGAACTAACATCAAGGCGGTGGCAGGGCTGAGCTCCCTTCTAGAGACTCTAAGGAAGAAGCTCTCTCCTTGCCTTCTCCAGCTACTAGAAGTTGCCTACATTCCTTGGCTCGTGGCTCCTAACTCCCTCTTTCACTTATAAGGACTCTTGTGCCTACACGGGTCCCACCCAGATAATCCAGGATGATCTCCCCATCTCAGGATCCTTAAACTTAATCATGTTTGCAAAGTCCTTTCTGCCCACATAAGACAGCAAAGGAGAAGAAGTAAACGAGGAGACAGGAGTCCCTGCCCTCGAATTCAAACACTGTCTGGACCTTTGAATGAAATTAATCAGTGATTACTACTTTTGTTGGAGGTGTGCTAATGATAGAGTGGTTATGTTTTTACAGAGTCTTTACTTTTAGAGATTTATTATGAAATACCTATCGTAAAATGATACGGTGTCTGGGATTTGCCTCAAAATGTTGACTGGGGGAGTGATGTGGGTGTAGATGAAGCAGGATCAGTCCTCATTTGACAATTAATGAAGCTTGGTGGATGTGGGTCTTCCTACGGTTCTCTCAACTTTTGTGTCCATTTGAAATTGTCCCTAATAAACAGTTATAAAATGACCGTGATACTAGATATTAGCTGATACTCTAGTGGAAGAGTCAGACGGTAAATAGAATAATAAGCACAAAAGTAATATCTCAGGTGCTGATCATTGTTATGGGAAAAAAAAAACAAATCAGGTGAGGCAGATATATTTTTGCACCTGATTGGGAGGTATAGTCATTTCCTGTGGCTCCTGTAACAAATGACCCCCAACTCAGTGGCTTAAAACAACACACATTTATTTTTGTACAGTTCTGAAGGTCAGAAGTCCAAAATCAGTTTCACCAGCTGAAATCCAGGTGTTGGCAGGGCTGCGCTCCCAGAGGCTCTGCGGGAAAATCCATTTCCTCGCCTTTTTCAGCGTCCAGAGCTGTATTCCTTGTATTCTTTGGCTCTGCCCCCTTCCTCCATCCTCGGAGCCTGCAATGTAGCATCTTGATGCCGTTATGTTGCCTCTGTCTCTGTCCGGCCGTTGGATCTCCCCCCTTATAAAGACATCTGTGATTACACTTAGGGCACACCTGGATATCTCAAGCGCCTTGACTTCATCACACCTGCAAAGTCTCTTTTGACACATAAAGGAATGTCCACAGGTTCCAGAGATCAGGGCCTGGAGATCTTTGGGGACCACTACTCAGCCTACCCAGGGAGTAATGCAATTTAAATGAATAGTCAGGAAGGTCTTGCTGAGGAAAGGACCTTTATGGAAGGCTTGAGAGAGGTGAGGGAGGAAGGCATGCAGAGATCTGGGGAAAAAGCCTTCCAGACAGAGGGACCAGTGACCACAGGGGCCTGGAGAAGGGTCTGAATCATCCCTCCCTCCTGGTGTTTATGCCCTTGAGTAACCCCTCCCCTTGCCCACGGGCTGGATGTAGGGATGTATTCTTTTTGTTTTGTTTTGTTTTAAGATTTTTAAAATGTATTTTGAGAGAGAGAGCACAAATGGGGAGAGGGGCAGAGAGAGAATCTCAAGCCGACTCCATGCCAAGCTCCATCCCATGACCCCGAGACCCTGAGATCAGGACCCAAGCTGAAACCGAGGGTCAGACACTCAACCGACTAAGCCACCCAAGCGCCCCAGGATGCTTTCTAAGAAACGGAATACAGCAAAAAGTGACGGGCTCTCACTTCTGACATCAGATTAAAAAAGAAAGTGACTTCCATCTTCCTCGCCTCTCTCTTGGGCTCCTCTTGCTTCTCCATTGGATGAAGTGGGCTGCCTTCAGAGGTGCCCGTGTGGCAGGGACCTGCAGGTGGTCTTGGCCAACAGCCAGCAAGGAAAAGAATCTTGCCAGCAACCACCTGGTGAGCTTAGCGGCCGATCTACAGAAACCGTGAGATAATAAATGCTGTTGTTCTCCACCATTACACTTGGGGGTAATTTGTTGTACAGATGAGCCGGCTCCTGCAGGTCTGGTGCCTGCGTGGAAGAGCCAGGAAGCCAGTCTGGCTGGGAGGAGTGGCTTGGGGGCAGGGGGAACAGTGAGAAAGTACGTCAGGCAGGTGGCAGGACGCTTACTACGATGCGACTGGCTCACGTCAGTCCAATACCCAATTTCATTTTCTTATATTCTTGGTTTTAAGATGTTCTTCCTCTCTTCCCCCTGCTTGAACAAAGTAACCATGGATAGGATGGGGGAGCCCAGAGAAGGTGCCTGACCCAGCCTGGGGGGGGGGTTAGGGAGGGCTTCCTGGAGGAGGGGATGTCTCTGAGACCTGGAGGAGAGAGGAATAGCGAGGCAGGGTAAGGTGGGGGTGATGGCGCTGCAGAGACAGGACACCACTGGAGACAAGTAAAAAGCAGAGGAGTGAGCCGCAAGATGGGGCTAGCTGCTGCATGGTGAGTGCAAACAGTGGGAAGGCATCACCCTGATTTACTCCTGTCCGAGATCACGTTGTGCAGGTTTTCCCCATTTTATCCTCCTTGGACGTCATACTGCAAGGAGCATCTGTGTGTGTGTGTGTAGCTTTGGTTAAGGCTCAGGGTCATGTCAGCAGCCTCCCTAATGCTCAACACCTGTCTCCACCATCCGCACCACTATGAATCCTTACTAGCTCCCTAGGACCTATTTTTAGAGACTTTGTCTAACTTTGGAAATATGTCCTCATTTGTATGACTGTGTAGTAAATGTCATTTGTTGAGATAAGCACCAATCATCCCCATCCCACACCTGTCCCAACCCTGCTTACTTTGGGTCATCACCGTCGGGATGGTTCTGTCTCCTCCACTGGACTATGCGCCCCAGGAGGACAGGGCTGAGACCGTCTCGGTGACCACTGGGTGCCTTTGGCTCCCCAGCTCAGGATGTGTACGGGGCTCAGGTAATACAGGACGAGTGAATGAATTAACAAATGAGAGAAAGAGAGGGAATTATGAAGGAAGTCACAACCTTAGGTGGCCCACTGCCTCCCGCTTTCTGGCTCTCTCGCTGAGCACGATGGTTGTAGCAACGAAGCTCCTTCTCTAATCCTGGCTAAACAGAGAATTCGAGCCTCACTCTCCTTCTCTGCCTAGATCAGCTCCAGAAACTGTCATGCACACAGACATAGACACACAGACCCTGGAATAAAATGGGCTTTGGGCAACTCACCTCACCTCTCTGAGCCTGCTCTTTCATCTGTAAAATGGGGATAATCAAAGCATGTGATTTATAGGACCGTCATGAGGATTCAATGACATCATTCTCTCCACTACCCTGGCCTTAGCCACAGACTGGCTCTGCTTGCCAGTCTTAGTCCTTCCGGTTCATGTGTCACAAGGCACTCCAAGTGACTTAGGGGTTCAGAATGCAAATTTGACCATCCCCCTGCCCCCGCTCATTCACCTCTTCAACAAATATTTATTGATTCCCCACTGTGTGCCAAGCACAATGGCAAGGACCACAGATGTAGGAGTGAGTAAAATGGACAAAATCCCTGCCCTTATGGAGCTGACCTTCTAAACTAAATAAGTCGAATATTTAATATGTCAGATGGTTAGATGGATTCTGAAGAAGAACAAAGCAGGGGAGGGAGCTACAGTGGGTAGCATATGAGTTTGTGTGTGTGTGTGTGTGTGGGGCGGGCTTGAATTTAATTTGGTGCCACTGAGAAGGTGACACCGGAGCAAGGACCCGAAGGATGTGATGAAGTCCAGCCACGAGGACGTCAGGGGAAAGAGCATTCCAGGCAGAGGACATAGCAGGTGCAAAGGCCCTAAGGTAGGATGTGCCTGGAGTGTTCTGGAAACAGCATGGAGGATAACGTGGCTGAAATAGAATGAGTTAAGCAACAGAGGAGGGGATCAGAGAGATAAGGTGAGTCGGTGTGGGGGTGATGAGGGGGTACGCTGGTTAGACAGGGTTCCGCAGGCCACTCTAAGGATTTTTGGCCTGGCCCTGCCTCTCCCTGCAGCTGCATTTTCTCTACTCTGTCCTTGCCTCTGTTCTTCCACCACGCAGGCTTCCCTTTAGCCCTTTGAGGCATTAGCTTTCTTGTGGTGGCAGAACTTTTGTACACCATCTTCCCTCTGGCTGGAACACCAACACCCTTTCCCCTTCTCTCATCTATCCCCTTTGGCTGGTTAGTTCCTTCTCATACTTCCTGTGTCTACTCAAACCTCATTTCCTCAAAGAAGGCTTTTCTGACCACTCCACACCCCCATAGTTGACAGCATGTTTCCTGTATGTAGCCCTTATGGTTTTCAGAATTTTCCCATCACAGCACTTGTCATACTTGCAACCATATATTTACATATATGTTTAAAATCTGTTCTTTGAGGACACGAACAAGGGCTGTCTTGGTCACCTTTGTTTTCCCAGGGCCTAGGAATCTATTTGTTGAACAATTGCATAAAAGCTCTAGCTACTGAATGCTGAGTATGTGCTAAACCCAGTTTTAAATGCTTTATGTGGGTTAACTTAAGCATCATCTACATCGTAATCTTTTTTTTAAATATTTGTTGTTACTTTTTTTTTTTTTTTTTTAAGGTAAGCTCTACGCCTAACGTGGGGCTTGAACTCATGACTCTGAGATCAAGAGTCCGGTGCTGTACCGTCTCAGCGGCCAGGTTCCCCTACATTATGGATAATCTAATTGTGCCTGCTTTGCAGATGACAAGTTAATTTAACCGAGGTCACAGAGCTGGTAGACAGTGGAGCCAGGATTTGGACCCAGGCATTCCGGTTCCAGAGTCCACACCTTAGCCGCCAAGCCACAATGCCTTTGCATTACTGCCTGATGAGGACAGTATCTGGCGAACGGTAGGGGTTCTCTAAATGGGAGGAGTTATTTATCCCAGAGAAGTCTAGGACACAGCGGGCATTTTAGAGGTGCAGGTTAGTCTAGTGCGACGAAGCCATTCCTGACTCGTGGGCTCCTAAGGGTCCTCAATTTCCTTGTCAGTTCCTTTAGACTCTATTCGCTGCTAGATGATCTTGGGCAGATGCAGGAAGACCAAATCCTATGAATGGGATCGATTATCTCGGTATTCTTCCTTCAAATGCTGTTCTCGGTACTCTGTGATCCTCAGCTACGCCTGCTTTCCCGGGAGCCCGCCCCCGCATTGCCGTGCGCACGCGCATTATCCCCCGCCCCAGTAGAGTGACGGGTGGGATCAGCCAATGGAGTCGTGAGAAAGGTGGAGCGGCGCCACGAGGACTCCTCACGAATCCTGCGCTCTGAATATTTATGAGGGAGGCGGGCCGACGCCGTTTCTCGCCGCGGCCGGCGCCATGAAGTGAGGAGGGGTTCGGAGTTCGCTGTTCGCGAGGCGGCTTGGGGGTGGGGGTGGGGTCTGAAATATGGGGGGCCAAGTGGGCGCGCCCGGGGCCCCGGCGGGGCTAGGGGGTGCTGCAGGAGTCGGGTGAGGAGAGCCGCGGGGACCCGCGGGGCGGTTAACGGGAATGGTCAGCGAAGAGATGCCGAAGGGAGCCGAGGCTCCCGGGGAACTGGGGGACGCCCGGGGGCGGTGGGGTCGGCGCCGGCAGGTAACCCCTCTCGGCTGGACGGCAGGAGAGTGTGGGGGTTTGGAGAGGGGCTGCGGGGGCGGGGGACTGACCCGGCCGCCCCCTGCCGCCAGGCTGAACGTGGACGGGCTGCTGGTCTACTTCCCTTACGACTACATCTACCCCGAGCAGTTCTCGTACATGCTGGAGCTCAAGCGCACGCTGGACGCCAAGGTGGGTGGGCCCGGCCCGCCGCTTCCCACCTGACAGGTGCACAGCGGCCCGCGCGTCTAAGAACGGAGATTGCTGGACCTCGAGGTGTTAGGCATGTGAGGTCCTTGGGGAAGCCGGCGCTCCCAAACCTGTTACCTGAAAGAATAGTTCATAACAGCAGCACCTAACGTTTATCAAAGGCTGCGCGGCTTTGGAGCCGGCGCTCTGGGTTGGAATCCTAGACCCACAGCTGTGTGCCCTTGGGCGAATCCCTTAATCTCCCTGTTTCACAGTTTTCACCTCTGTAAAATGGGCTCAGTACGATTGCCTACTCTCAGAGGTTCACATGAAGGTTATGGGAGTTAATTCGGTAAGTAAGGCAGCAGTTTTTTTTTTTTTTAAGATTTTATTTATTTGACAGACACAGCGAGAGAGGGAACAAAGCAGGGGGAGTGGGAGAGGGAGAAGCGGGCTTCCCGCGGAGCAGGGAGCCCCATGTGGGGCTCAATCCCAGGACCCTGAGATCATGACCTGAGCCGAAGGCAGACGCTTAACGACTGAGCCACGCAGGCGCCCCAGGGCAGCAGTTATTAAGTGGGGTTGCTTTTGACCCCTCCCCAGGCCGTGTCCAGAGACATTCCTGGTTGTCATACTAGCGGAGTGGGGGTGCTAGTGGTAGGTAGAGGCCATGGGCACTGCTAAACATCCTGCAGTGCACAGGATAGACCCCCCAAATGTCAGTGGAGCCCAGGTTGAGAAACCCCGATGTAAGTAAGACACTTAGAAGGGGTGCTAGGCACAGAGTAAGTGCTGTGGAAGTGTTTACTAAATTAAAAAACAGGTCACTACCCATCAGTTACTATGCTAAATATTTAACCCCCATTGTCTCAGTCCTCACAGTCATCATCTGAAGAAGTGCTTATTAGGCCCATTTTATTTATTTTTAAAGTTTGTGGGGTTTTTTGTTTGTTTTTACACGTAATCTTTACACCCAACGTGGGGGTCGAACTCACAATCCTGAGATCAAGAGTCACATGCTCTTCCGACTGAGCCAGCCAGGCGCCCTCTAGGCCCATTTTAGAGATGAGGATACTGAGGCTGGATGGGTGAAGGCTCTTGCCTAAGACCACTCAACAAAGAGGTGGCAAAAGTGGGGTTCAAACCCACTGCCCTTGGAGCCTAGGCTTTTAACTGCAGTTGTGCTGGTATTTTCAAGATGGTAGCATTCTGGGAGTGGTCCCCAGAGTTTGTGTCCCTGAAGTTCTGTCTCTGTCATCTCAACATGCAGGGTCATGGAGTCCTAGAGATGCCCTCAGGCACTGGGAAGACAGTGTCCCTGTTGGCCCTGATCATGGCGTACCAGAGGGTAAGTGACCCCTGGGCCCGGGGAGGTGGATAGAGGGAAGGGGTCCAACGGGGGCTGAGCCCATTATCCCCGGCAGGCGTATCCACTGGAAGTGACTAAACTCATCTACTGCTCCAGGACTGTGCCTGAGATTGAGAAGGTGAGCCAGGGCCAATCCTGGGGCTCCCCCAGTCCCGCAGGACTTGTTGGTCCCCCTGGTGGTTGCCCTCATAGCTTTGGGGGGTGTTGGGGAAGCTGGAGAAGAGGCTGGGCCAGGCTGGGCAGGGTCTCATGCTGGAGTCCCCTCCGTCCTCGAGAACAGGTGATCGAAGAGCTGCGGAAGTTGCTCAACTTCTATGAGAAGCAGGAGGGTGAGAAGCTACCGTTTTTGGGGCTGGCTCTGAGCTCCCGGAAGAACCTGTGTATTCATCCTGAGGTGCGTGCCCATTTCTCCCCTTGCCCCAAGCTTCAGGGTTGGGGAAACTTTCATCCAACCAGTCCTAGATCCCCAAACCAGATCTCTCAGGGAGACAGGCAGGGACCACTCGCAGACTTCTCACGCATCAAATTCTGACTTCTGATGAGGCGGTCCAAACACACCTTCTCCCCAGCCTGAGAGGTTAAAAGGCAGTTCCTGGAGTCTGGCAGGTCAGGTTTCCTGGCTTTGAAACTTAATAGTCATGTGTTCTTGGATAGGTGATTTTTACAGTGGGGCTTCAGTCTTCCTTTCTGTAAAATGAGGGTAATTAATTACTGGCTTCATACAGTTGATCAGATTGGGCAGGGGGGGGTCAAAATGTGCAGACTTCAGTTAAAACAAATAGGTCACGGGGATGTAATGTACAGCGTGGTGACTATAATTAATAATACTGTATTGTCTATTTGAAAGTCACTAAGAGGGGCGCCTGGCTGGCTCAGTCTGTAGAGCGTGTGATGCTTCATCTCCCGGTCATGAGTTCAAGCCCCACGTTGGGTATAGAGCTTACTTAAAAAAAAGGAAATAGAAAAGAAAAATTGTAACTGTGTGGTGATGGATATTAATTGACTTACTGTGCTGGTCTTTTTGCAGTATTTACAAGTATCAAATTACTATGTTGTACCCCTGAAACTAATAGAGTATTCTAAGTCCATTGTATCTCAATCATTAAAAAAGATTAGGCGAGATAATGTACAGCCCTTAGCATGTACAAAATACTAAAACGTTAGAAATCATCATGGTATTAATACATATAATAACATATGACATGTAGAATATTAGTTATTATTAAATTATGTTACAAAACTGTTGGACTTGGGGCGCCTGGGTGGCTCAGTTGTTAAGCGTCTGCCTTCTACTCAGGTCATGATCCCAGGGTCCTGGGATCGGGCCCCGCATTGGGCTCCCTGCTCGGTGGAGAGCCTGCTTCTCCCTCTCCCACTCCCCCTGCTTGTGTTCCCTCTCTCACTGTCTCTCTCTCTCGCTCTCTCAAATAAAATCTTAAAAAAAAAAAAAAAAAAAGACTGTTGGACTCACCCCTAAACAGTGTTCTAAGCACTTTACATGTGGTAAGTCATGGAATCTAATATAATGTTAATTGTAAGAATATGAAAAACTATGGATGTGACTGGTGATAATTAGAAGTAGCATGGGCCTTGGCAACTGATGAAACAGGAAGAGAGAGGGAAAGGTCAGCAGCCTCCGAGCCTGCCCCTTGGTGAAGGCAAAGGTTTTGTTGTGGGGCGCCTGGGTGGCTCAGTTGGGTTAAGCAACTGCCTTCGGCTCAGGTCATGATCCTGGAGTCCCGGGATCGAGTCAGTCCCGCATCGGGCTCCTTGCTCAGCAGGGAGTCTGCTTCTCCCTCTGACCCTCCCCTCTCTCATGCGCGTGCTCTCTCTCAAATTAAAAAAAAAAAAAAAAAAACTTAAAATTTTTTGTTTTGGAAAAGGGCAGCCCTGGGGTGCGATGGTGCCACCTACAGAAGGTGCAGGGCAAGGCAGCGTCTCATACTGTACCATCAGAACCTCCTGGGGGCGCCTGGGGGGCTTAGTCCGTTAAGTGTCTGCCTTCTGCTCAGGTCATGATCACGGGGTCCTGGGATCGAGCCCCACCTCAGGCTCCCTGCTCAGCGGGGAGTCTACTTCTCCCTCTCCCTCTGCCCCTCCCCCTGCTTGTGTGCACTTTCTCTCTCCCTTTCATAAATAAAAAATAGATTTATTAAAAAAAAAAAACCTCCCCTGATTCTTAGACTGGCCTAGATTCAGGGTGTTTTAGTGTTTGCAAAGATAAAGCAGTTATTCTTAATCTACATGCTAAAGATTGTTCAAGACTTGGTTTTGTTTTTTTTTTAAATCGAGGTAAAATTGACATATAACGTTAGTTTCAGGTGTACAGTGTAATGATTTGGTATTTGTATATATTGCAAAATGATCACCACGGTAAGTCTAGTTAATTTCGGTCACTTTACATAGTTACGATTTTTTTCTTGTAATGAGAACTTTTAAGATCTCTGTTAGGAGCTTGCAAATATGCAATATGGTATTTTGAACTAGAGTTTCCATGCTGTATGTTACATTCCTAGGACTTATTTTATAACTGGAAGTTTGCACCTTTTGAATACCTTCACTCCTACCCGCTCACCTCTGGCAACCATGAATTTGTTCTTTGTATCTTTTTTTTTTTTTTTTAAGATTTTATTTATTTGTCAGGGAGAGCACAAGCAGGGGGAGAAGCAGGTAGAGGGAGAAGCAGGCTCCCCGCTGAGCAGGGAGCCGGACGCGGGACTTGATCCCAGCACTCTGGGATCATGACCTGAGCCAAAGGCAGACACTTAATGACTGAGCCACCCAGGCATCCCCCTTTTTTTTTCTTTATTTAAGATTTTTTTATTTTTATTTATTTATTTTTAAAGATTTTATTTATTGGACAGAGAGGGACACAGCGAGAGAGGGAGCACAAGCAGGGGGAGTGGGAGAGGGAGAAGCAGGCTTCCCGCTGAGCAGGGAGCCCGATGCGGGGCTCGATCCCAGGACCCTGGGATCATGACCTGAGCCGAAGGCAGATGCTTAGCGACTGAGCCACCCAGGCGCCCCAAGATTTTATTTCTTAATTTCTGTACCTGACATGGGGCTTGAACTCATAACCCCAAGATCACTGTAAGAGCCTAACAGTTGCACTGCTCTTACACCGCCCCCCCCCACCATGGTTAAGTTCTCAGATGTCTTAACTGTTTAATAATGAGACAGTTGAGGTTTAAGTTTCCCCCAGAATTCCTTATTCTCACCCCGGACGGAACAGAACAGCCCCCTATCCCACCTAGCTGGCAGGTGTAGAGCCCCGCGTTTGAGGAATGGTTGAGCTTCTTGGCACTAAGCTGCCCCCCACCCCCAGGTGATGCCCCTGCGCTTTGGGAAAGACGTCGACGGGAGATGCCACAGCCTCACAGCCTCATACGTGCGGGCGCAGTACCAGCAGGACGCCAGCCTGCCCCACTGCCGCTTCTACGAGGTCCCTGCCGACTGGGCTGAGGGAGGGAGGGCAAGACGGCTGCAGCAGCCAGCCTCCCTGACCCGCAGGTGCCCTCTCACCCCAGGAGTTTGATGTCCATGGGCGCCAGGTGCCCCTCCCTGCTGGCATCTACAACCTGGATGACCTCAAGGCCCTGGGACGGCGCCAGGGCTGGTGCCCCTACTTCCTCGCCCGCTATTCGGTGAGGAGGCTGCTGGGGGCCGGCCTACAGCCCGCCTGCCTGTGCGTCTGTCTGTTTCTGTCCGTTAGCTTCTGTCTGTCCCGTGCCCGTGTCTGTCTCGCCTCGCCTCCCCTCTGTGGGTCTGGGAGGGTGGACGCGGTGGGGTGCGGCGTGGGGGGTGGCGGGGCAGGGCGCACTCGGGTAGGCTGGGCTGACTCTGCCCACCTCGGTCCCTAGATCCTGCACGCCAACGTGGTGGTTTACAGCTACCACTACCTCTTGGACCCCAAGATTGCAGAGCTGGTGTCTAAGGAGCTGGCCCGCAAAGCTGTCGTGGTCTTCGACGAGGCCCACAACATCGGTGAGGCAGGAGCCCAGGTGGACAGGGAATCCGGGCCCTCCGCCGCCGCTCCAGCAGCACCTGCGGCCCCACTGAGCCCAGCCTCCTCCCCTGTTTTCTCTAGACAACGTCTGCATCGACTCCATGAGTGTCAACATCACCCGCCGGACCCTCGACCGCTGCCAGGGCAACCTGGAGACCTTACAGAAGACAGTGCTCAGGTGGGGGCTCTGTCCTGCGCCACCTGGTGCCCACCCCGCCCCTGCCGTCTGGCCCCTGCCTCTTCTGCCCAGCTTGCCCCCAGGGCCACCAGCCCCGTTCCCACGCCCCCACATGTCCCCCCCTCCCCCGCAGGATCAAGGAGACAGATGAGCAGCGTCTGCGGGAAGAGTACCGACGCCTGGTGGAGGGGCTGCGGGAGGCCAGTGCCGCCCGGGAGACGGACGCCCACCTGGCCAACCCCGTGCTTCCTGACGAGGTGCTACAGGGTGAGCTGCGCGTCCCCCCGCCACCTGCTCCCTGCCCCGCTCCCTGCGCTACCGTGGTGGCTGACGCCTTCCTCCCGCAGAGGCTGTACCCGGTTCCATCCGCACGGCCGAGCACTTCCTGGGCTTCCTGCGGCGGCTGCTGGAGTACGTCAAGTGGCGGCTGCGGGTCCAGCACGTGGTGCAGGAGAGCCCCCCTGCCTTCCTCAGCGGCCTGGCCCAGCGCGTGTGCATCCAGCGCAAGCCCCTCAGGTGAGGCCCCACACAGCTGGGGGGTGGTGTCGGGTCCCCACGGGGGCGTGGGGCAGACCCTGGGCCCTCCCTGAACCTCGGCCTCTGTGGCTGGGGCCACCACGTTGCCAGTGTCGGGAGTCAGTGATCCAGGTAGGAGGATCGTGTGTGATGGCGCGCCGTCAGACCAGGCCGACCCGCGGGCCAGCTCCAAGCTGTTCCTGGGTCCCTGTGCTGGGCAGGAAACTGGCAGACGACACATGGCTTCCTCAGAGGGCTTACCTGAAGAGCACTTGATGGAGGGACTGCTGACACGGGTGGGCGGGGCAGAGGGTCTCACAGGGGGCCTGGGCACTTGTAAGAGCTCAGGAATTTCCACCTCAAGCCACGGTGGCATGGGAGGGAGTGGTCCTGGAGCGGGGCTCCTGACAAGACCCAGCAGGGGGGGAGCTGGGGAGGGGGTAGAAATGCTGTGGATCCCCTGGACCCCTGTCTCCTCCTGCTGGTGCTTCTCTTTGTCCCCCGGAAGTCTGAGGGCAGGAACGCCCCCACCAGGCAGACTGTGGGATGGGTCAGTCTCCCCAGCACAGGACAAGCAGAGCGTGGACCTGGGAGTGGGGTGGGGCCTTCTGTACTTCTTCTGTGGTGTTTTGGATAAGTCACGGTCTTCTCTGAATCTCCGTTTCCTTGTCTGTTGAATGGGTCGGGGGTCATCACCTTTACTCCGGTTTCTTTGGTGGTTAAATGAGAAAGTAGTGGTAGAAGTAACTCACCCTGTCTTGAGCACCAACGATGAGCTAAGCACTTGACTTTCTGCATCTTCTGGAGTCTCAGTACGGCGTCCCTGGCCACAGATGAGGACGGTGTGGCCTAGAGATGGCAAGCCATCGCCCAGGGTCACACAGCACCTCATGGGGGGAGTCGTGTGAAGCCAGGCCTGTAGGGCTCCGAAGGCCCTGGCTGCCTTGCCTCTTGGGGTGGGGTGGCCCTCGGGATGGCGTCGTTTGTCCTTCTTCGTGAGGGACTCGTGAGGGCAAAGATGGCATCCTAGCCAGTCATGTTCCCTGAGCGCCTGCTCTGTGCTCTTTGATCAAGGACCTGCATGAGATTGTGTGACCATGTGACTAGAGCGTCTGATCGCTGGTCGGTGTGTGCAGTTGTAGAGTGTGGAGTCACGGGTGACTGAAACAGCCCCAGTCTGTCCCCACCGAGCACCCAGTCACCTCGGAGAGCATGTGTGCATGCTGACGGTGGCGGAGGGGGGTCACTGTCCCGTTGGCGCTCTGCCACCCCCCTGACCCCGCCTGGCTTCTGCACCAGATTCTGTGCCGAGCGTCTCCGCTCCCTGCTGCACACCCTGGAGATCGCTGACCTTGCCGACTTCTCTCCCCTCACCCTCCTGGCTAACTTCGCCACCCTTGTCAGCACCTACGCCAAGGGTAAGCTCATCTCCTGCCTCGGCAAGCACCCCCCCCACCCCCGCCCCGGCAGCCAGAATCAGGATCCTAGCAGAGTCCAGAGGCTTGTCTGTGGTACTGGGACATTCAGGACCTTGTAGGGCTGGGCTCAGGAGTTTGGGCTTTGTTTCGAGGGCAGGGAGGTTCCGCAGATAGGTCTTGAGTTAGCCAGGCCTCTTGCTCAGATTAGTATTTTCGGAGCCCCCGCTGGCCGCGGAGTGGAGTAGGGTGGGGGTGAGGCCAGAGAAGCTCTGGGGGGGCACTCACCCTGTAGGGTGTGGTAAGGAGTTGGCCCTTTTACTCCCGGGAAGGGGGGAGCCATGGGAGGTTCTGAGCAAGGGAGGGGCCGGGATCTGGGGCAGGATGGGAGAAGGAGAGGGGCTGGAGAGAGAGGTGGGACCCGGTGCCTGGGGTCGGGGGCAGGGAGCTGAGTGCAGTGCGCAGGTATCCAGCGTGCCAGGAAGAGGGGAAGTGGTCCTGAGGTTTCACTGGTCAGCACTCCCTCCCCTTCCTCAGCGTTAAGCTGGCCAAGGGCTCAGTCTGATCCCTGGCGATTACTGCTCTATCCCAGAAAGCAGGTCAGGCCTCCTGACACCCTGCACCAGCCCGGAGGGTGGAGAGGCTGTCCCCCAACCCCAGCACCTGTTAGCAGCAAGTCCCACGAGAAGCTTCCTTCTGTGTCCATCCCCCTGTCCCACCCTGTCTTCCTTCTGGGACTGGCTTTCTCTTCTCCTCCCCACTTCCCCATCCATTAACACTTCACATTCTTTTACCTGGAACATCTGTCCCAATATTCCTCAGGCCCCAACTACTTACCTCCTACTCTTTTTCAGTTCTCGCCTCGTTAGAGATGTCCGCTCTTCCAGGAAGCCCTCCCTGACCCCTAGGCTGGGTCAAGCTCCCCTCCTCTTGGCTCCCCTGTCCCAGCCCTGTCTACTTGGAGTGGTCACTCTCTGGGGACAGGACTGTGTCCCCATCATCAGACTGTGAGCCCTGAGAGGGGAGGGCCGGAACTGTCTTGGTTCCCGCTGTTTCCCCAGTACAGGGTTGGGCACAGAGGACTTTTTTTTTTTTCTTCTTCTTCTTTTTTTTAATTAAGTGAAACTGAATATGTGAATTCATTCATTCACCTGTTTTTTCAAAAAATGGGCCAGGCCTAACACTGAGGAAGTGGCAGGAACACAGAGGGACCTTATTTCTGATCTCCTGGAACTTATATTGCAGAGAGGAAGACAGGTAGCAAAGACTCAAACAAATAAAATAATTCCAGAAAGGGATAGTTTTCACAAGAAACAAAAATGTTGCCATGTTGGAACATGCCTGCAGTGGCCCAGGAAGGCCTGAGGCGCTGACATTTGAGCTGAGTTCCAAATGACCTGGGAAAACTTTTCAGGCTGTGGGGCCAGCAAGTGCAAAGGCCCTGGGGTGGAGTGAGCCTGGTGGTTTTTGAAAGTTAGGCAGTAGGTGGCCTGTGAGCCAGGAGGAAATGGGGTCAGTGTGGCAGGGTCTCACAGATAATTTTGGCCTCTGGAAGGGGCCTGGGGAGCTGTGCAGGGCTTCTGAGCGGGGCAGGGATGTGACCTGACTCAGGATTTCACAGGGTTTCTCTGGCTGCTGGGAAGGGAGCAGGGGTGGGAGCTGGAAGCCCAGGGAGGTGACTGCAACAGTCCAGGCTAGAGTTGATAGTGGGGGAGGGGGTGGGGAGAGTGGTCAGATTGCAGATAGCTTTGGAAGCAGAGCTGACCCGCCTGATGGTTTAGATACAAGGATCATGGGGGAAGGCTCCAGGCTTGGGCTTGAGTCGCGGTGTGGGAGTGACCCTTTGGTGCTCTCTGCTCATGATGCTCCCTGAGTGGGTGTCAGCTCTGGGAGAAGCGGGCAGTTGGGGTGTACTTTGAACTCCCGATGCCTGGATTTAAAGCTTGAGAACTGTGGTCCACCAGTCACTAATGGGGCAGGAGAGAGTGGCCAGGTGGGCGTGGCAACGTCTGGTGACCAGGAATCTCACCCGCTTGTAGGTTTCACCATCATCATCGAGCCCTTTGATGACAGGACCCCCACCATTGCCAACCCCATCCTGCACTTCAGGTGAGACCCGACCCCAGTGTTGGGGGTGTGAACGGACCACGCGGGCCCCGGCGTAGTCCTCACCACCCTTGTCTGCTTCCTACAGCTGCATGGACGCCTCACTGGCCATCAAACCTGTGTTCGAGCGCTTCCAGTCTGTCATCATCACATCTGGGGTGAGGACCCTTCTCCACCTCCAGTGCCCAGCTCTCCACTGTGGGGCTCCTGGTTTCTGCCCAGTTCTGCTAAGATCCCTCCTGCTGTCCCTGCTACAGACGCTGTCACCACTGGACATCTACCCCAAGATTCTGGACTTCCACCCTGTCACCATGGCAACCTTCACCATGACGCTGGCCCGGGTCTGCCTCTGCCCCATGGTGCGTGGGAGAGGGTGGGTGCTGGACCAGGGGAGGTGGGCCGCCTTTCCTCCCTCTGTCCCCTCACCCTGCTGTTGAGGCAGGAGAGTTTTACAGCTGAGGACACAGACTCTGGATTCAGGCAGATCTGGGTTTGATGCTACTTCTCCCTGTGGGTGTGACTCCCCAAGCCTCAGTTTCTAATCTGGGGAATTAGAATGGGAATGCATCTTCCCTGACCTCCCAGGTTGGTTGAGGGGTTAGTGAGATAGCAGGTATAAAACGCTTGTGTGGCCCAGGGCCTGGTGCCGGTCAGCACTCAGTCAACATCTTTGTTAACGTGGGCTCTGCCTAGTTTGTCCTCTGGCCATGACCTTGATGATGACCCTTTTGCTCTGCCTCAGTCTCCTTTGTAAAACAGGCATCATAACGTGGGCCCTCCGTCCCTTATCTGAATCCCTTGGGCCAGGTGTATTTTAGAATTGAGAATTTTCCAGACTTTAAAAAACAAAGCACATGCTGTGTGGTACGTGACATTCCCAGCGGGGTTGGGGCAGCTCCTGCCAGTCAAAGTCCTAGTTCAGCAGGAACATGCTTTGAGACTTCAGACTAAGGCGGGTAAGTCAGGACTCCGGATAGACTCAGGTGAGGGCAGGTTTTGCTACTACAGGAGTTGGCGCCAAAGTTAAATATCTGGAGTTTCTTGGCTTTTGGAATTGCCCTTCATGGGTTGTGGACTGGTGACGGCCACGTCCTGCATCGTGGTTTGTGGAGTTGCTGGTGGGGGAGCGGGGTGCACCCGTAGCTGGTGGCTGCCGAGTTTGTGGTGAGACACTTTCTCTGGGAACTGCCTGGCCCGGAGGCTGGGGCCGGTAGCACGTACTTGCTGGTCAGCAGTGTGGACAGACTCGGGTTCAGTCCTGCCGCCACTGTGGATTTGCCACATGCCCTGGGGCAGGCAGCTCACCTTCTCCGGGCCGGAGGTGGTTCATCCATGCGGTGCAGGTAACAGGGGAGCCGAGGGTTCACTCCATGACATCGTGTCTGTAAAAAGCTGAGCCCGGCACCAGCAGTGAGTGCTGCTGTTTGCTTAGCGTGACGTCTCTTGCCCTCTGCAGATCATTGGTCGTGGCAACGACCAGGTGGCCATCAGCTCCAAGTTTGAGACCCGGGAAGATATTGGTAGGCTGCACGTGGGGGTGGCTTGCATGGGTTCTGAGAGGGCAGGTGGATCAGTGGGCTAGGTCAGGCTGCAGCAAGCTGACACAGAGCCCCAAGTCAAAGTGGGGTTACACAGAGGTTACTTCTTGCTCACAGTATGTGCCACTGTGGGTTGGTGGGGGCTTGCCCCGTGTCTCCTCCCCCTGGGGACCTTCCCCACTGGATGCGTCACTATGGGGATAAGGGGTGGCAGGAAGGATCCTGGTAATGGTGCTGTGCCTCATAAAGGTGTGTGACCCATGGCCACTTCTGCACTCATTGGCCAGGGCAAGTCACATGGTCACACCTAACTCCCCGGGCGGGGCGGGGGTGCCGTTCTCCCAGGGGCCTGGAAAGACAAGTGGAATGTGTGTGAACAGCCCTCCAGGTGGCCTCGGGGATTTCTAGGAACCCCGAGTTCAAGACGGGGCATTAGATAGGAAAGTCCCGATGGAGTGGGGAGCAGGACCTGCGCACAACCTCTGACCGCCCCCCCCCCCCCCGCCCCCCGCCAGCGGTGATCCGGAACTATGGGAACCTCCTGCTGGAGATGTCCGCCGTGGTCCCTGATGGCATCGTGGCTTTCTTCACTAGCTACCAGTACATGGAGAGCACCGTGGCCTCCTGGTACGAGCAGGTATGCCCAGTCGCCCGCTCCCTGGGGAGGCTCCGCTCTTTTCAGCCCCTGGCTCTTCCTTTGTGTGTTGGCTTCGTTCGTCTCGTGTTTTAAGCGGTGACGTGTATCATAGGTGACAGGACAGTGTATAAAACACAAACAGTTCATGGAACAAACGGTGTATACCTTAGTCCCCCCCTGCCTTCCTCCCCCATCCAGATTAAAAACTCAAGAGCCCCTGCAGGATAGTGCAGGGGTGAGGTCACAGAGTGTTCTGGAAATGGGGCTCACCGCAGCCAGGCCCTGCGGGGCCGGCAGGATGGGGGTGGGAGGGGGCCACTGTGACCTCTCCGCTTCTCGTGCATCATGGCCCAGCTCTTGGGTAGTGAAAGCAGGTGCTTCTTTAGGGTGAGATGAGAGAACTTGGCTGATCCACACTCCAGGGAGCAGGATGGGGGAGCCTTGTCCACTTGGTCAAGACCTTGGTCTTGTCCTCAGTTGGGCGCTTTCCACACCGTGGGAAAGGTGGCTGCTGGCCACCCAAGTCCACATCCTGAGTCTTGTATGTCCTATTTAAGGAAGCTTTGCCTGCCCCAAGGTCCTGAAGATCATCTCCTGTGTTTCTTCTAGAAGCCTCGTGTTAGCTTTCACATCTGGTCTGTGAGGTACCTCACATCTTTGTGTGTGGTGTAAGGTCAGGGTCGAGGTTCTTTGTCTCCCCCTGTGGAACTCCAGTTGCTGCAGCCCCATTCACTGGAAAGCACTGTCCCCCCTGAATGGTATGGGTGAACCACCGGTGTGAGGGTGTGTTTCTGGACCCTCCATTCTGTCACACTGGTCTGTCCCTGCGTCTGTCCTTGGTCGCTATCACAAAGCTAGTGCAGTGTCACGGAAATCTCTGGGCAGCCTCAGCCTGGCCTACATCAGCCCCTCCACTAAGCACCAGCTGGGGGGGCGGAGTGTCCTCATGGGCCATCTTGGGCCATATGCCTGCCCCACTTGCCTGAAAGATGGGGTGCGGGGATGGGTTCCATGCCTGGAATCACAGAGCTTTCCTCCATGAATGAGACCAGCCCGCACCCCCCACCCCCCACCCCCCACCGAGTCTCTGCTGGCTGCTGGGACCCTGGGACAGAAGGGGGTGGCTGCACAGGAATCGGGGCAGAGTTGACCGGAGCCAGGATGCCTGTGCCCTTATGCCGCTTTCTGCCAACCCACAGCCTGACCTGCCTGCTGTCCTTCTCTAGGGCATTCTTGAAAACATCCAGAGGAATAAGCTGCTCTTCATTGAGACGCAAGATGGGGCCGAGACCAGCGTCGCCCTGGAGAAGTACCAGGAGGTGGGCATGGGGGCGAGGGGGGGGGTTAGGGGGAGGGCCAGTAGACTGCACACGGGGGGCCCAGAGGAGGCAGCTCTGGGGGACCTAGCTCCTGTCTTGGCCTCCCCTCCCCAGGCCTGTGAGAATGGCCGTGGAGCCATCCTGCTGTCCGTGGCCCGGGGAAAAGTGTCCGAGGGAATCGACTTTGGTGAGTGGGCCAGGCTCTCCCTGTCCCCAGGTGCCTGCATGAGGCTCTGGCTGTTTCCCCCAGGGGACCCCCCCCCCATAGCCTGGGCTCACACAGGGACCTCTCCCTTCCTCCGGCCCCCCTCCTGTGCTTGCTCCCCCAGTGCACCATTACGGGCGCGCAGTCATCATGTTCGGCGTCCCCTACGTCTACACGCAGAGCCGCATCCTCAAGGTGAGCAGCCCCGGGGGCCACTCGGAGGGACAGGGACTGGGCCTGGGGTGGCGTGCGGGAGGGGCAGGAGGGACTGCTCTGCTCTCTTCTCTCGGGCAGGCACGGCTGGAGTACCTGCGGGACCAATTCCAGATCCGAGAGAATGACTTTCTCACCTTTGATGCCATGCGCCACGCGGCCCAGTGCGTGGGCCGGGCCATCCGGGGCAAGACGGACTACGGTCTCATGGTCTTTGCTGATAAGGTGCGGGTGCAGGGGCCTCTGCCTACCAGGCTGTCCCCCTTTTGCAGATGGGGAAGGAGGCCTGGGCTCCCCCCCACTGGGGGCCTGATGTCTTCCCTCCCTCACCCTCCTGCTGAAAGCGGTTTGCCCGGGCAGACAAGCGTGGGAAACTGCCTCGCTGGATCCAGGAGCACCTCACTGACGCCAACCTCAACCTGACCGTGGATGAGGGGGTCCAGGTTGCCAAGTACTTCCTGAGGCAGATGGCTCAGCCATTCCACCGGGTGAGCTGGAGGGGGCCTGGCCTGCCCTCAACAAAGAGGTGTGTGTGTGTGTGCGCGTGCCCGTGTGTGTGCCCACAGGCCAGGGCTGGGGGTGTGGCCAGAGCCCGTCCTTCTCCATCTGGAAAACCAGCTGGCTTCCCTCTCCCTCCCTCAGGCCTGGCTTCTGCTTCCAGGGGCTGTTCCCCATTAGAGGGGTGTTTCAAACATCCTGCGCCTTGGCCCCTGGTGTCCCGGGGGGGGGGGCCTGGGGGAGGGCGCTACAGCCGTCTGGCCCACCCTGGAGCTGCCTCCTCTCCCCCCTCCAGGAGGACCAGCTGGGCCTGTCCCTGCTCAGCCGGGAGCAGCTGGAGTCTGAGGAGACCCTGCGGAGGGTAGAGCAGATTGCTCAGCAGCTGTAGCTCAGGGTGCGTACAGGGCCGTAGCAGTGCGGCGATTCCGGGGTCTCACCTGGCCCTGGGGCCCAGCGGCTGGGAGGTGGCCTCAGGTCCTTACAGGAAACCTCAGGCAGGCAGTTCTGGCTTCCAGATCTACAGCCTTTAATTGGAGGAGAACGGGGAGCCCCATATCGTAGGTGCCCCCAAGAGGTGGGGAGCAACTCGGGGAGATGAAAGGCCACCCCTTCCCCATTCTTCCTGAGAAGCTGCAGCCACACGGTCCTGTCACCTTCAGCGGGGGCCCAGGTCCTGGGGGCTGGTGCTGAGGGTCCGCGAGGCCTCGCTCGGGTGCTGATGGGGGAACTGCGGACAGGCGCAGGGGAGGGGTGGGCAAGGGGCAGGACCCGACCCCGAGGGCCACCCACCAGCATCCTCGCTACTGGCTTGTCCCCCCCCCAGCCCTTCTGTTCTTGGGTCCGTTCCCACCCCTCCCTTGCCTCTGGGCCTGCCAGCGTGCCCCTCAGCCCCTCTCACCTGGGGCCCAGCAGCCTTTGGAGCATCCGCATCCAGCATGTTGAGCGACAGGGCTCTCTTCATCCTGTAAAAAGAGGGTGGCAGGGTGAGTCCCCCGAGTGGCTGCTTCCCACTCTGGGCATAGACCTGCCTGGCACCGGATGTGACTGTACGGGTGGCAGAGGAGAGGGGAACTGTGGAAGGTTCTGGAACAGGACAGGGAGTGGGGTGGGTTACAGAAGCTGCAGCGGTGGGGCTCTTGCCTGCCTGGATCAGACACTCACCCGGCTGCACCTGCCACCCCCTCGCCTCGGAGACGGGAGACCAACTTCTCACTTCCACGCCTTAGCGATTCCCGGATCTTGGAGAAGGAGCTGCTCCGACGAAGGGTCTGGGGAGGGTGCCCAGGACCCCAGTCAGTTCCCCCCACCTTCTCCTCCGGTCCCCACCCTAGGAGCCGGAGCGAAGCCCATCCCCCCTCCTCACCTGTTCTGTGTCACCAGCTGTGCCTGGGTTGGGGGCTCCTAGGAACAGAGGGGGGGGAAACAGTGCAATGGGGACACGGAGCAGTCACCTGGGGGGCAAGGGCAGGGCTGGGGGCTCACCCAGAGGGGCAGGCAGGTCCTCGCGGCTCAGGATCTCTCGGTACAGCTCTTCTGCTTGCTGGTACTTGTTCTGTTTCAGGTAGGCCGAGGCCTGCGGGGAGGGTGGGTGATCGTGGCTCAGATCTGGAGCTCCCCCGGCACATCTCCCCCTCCCCCCACAACCTCGTGACCTAGGGCAGCTGACTGGTTCCTGCTCCACCCTGGGCTAGTGACACCACCTTTGTGCCTCAGTTCCCTTATTTGCAAAATGGGATGAAAGGAGCACCTAGCTCCTAGGGTCCTTTGAGAAATGGATGGTCCTTTCCCTTAAGGACTAAGAAGGGGGTCAATAAACATTTGACTGTCATCTGGCCCCACCAACTTGCGTGTTTCCTGTGGCTTCCAGGTCCTCTGTGCCTAGTGATCTCACGAGTCGGGGCCCAGCACACAGGCCAAGTCTTAGAGGGCCCCTGCTCCAGGGGCGCACTTGAGCCAGTTGGCTGTGTCTCCTGGGGAACCCCTGGCGCTTGGCTCCAGGACCGAGTTGTACCTGTGCCCTGCAGCGCCCTCACCAGGTTGTTCTTGGTCTTGGCCACGTTTGGGTCGTTGGGCCCTCCCAGGGCCTCATAAATGCTCAGGGCTCGGGCATAGTGCTGCTCCACCTCCTCAAACTTTCCCTGGTTCTGGCAGAGCAAGGCCAGGTTGTTGAGCTGCTTGGCCACGTCAGGGTGGTCGCTGCCCAGGACCTAGGGGTTGGGGGGATGGGTGAGCCACGTGATACTGGTAGCCGCAAGGGGGGGGGGTCATGAGGAAAGGTTCACAGGCTCAATGGGGAGTTACATGAGGTTGTGGGCTAGAAGGTAGAGGTTAGTTACACAAATAGGATTAATCAGGTCAAGGTGGTCATATGGCATTGGAAGTTCAGGGCTGGGAGGCATATGAGGTGATGTAGAAGGACGATTAGAGTCACGATCAGATGGCGTTCATTAAAGGTCAAGCACAGTGGGGTCATGAGATTATCTAGGCTCAAACTGGGGGCTCACAAGAGCAGATGGGAAGGACATCATTGGATCAGGGTTACAAGGCACGAGCCACTGAACTGCGCGCATCAGGATCAAGTGGGAAGGGGCTGTGGACCAGGAACTCGGCAGGGGTGGGGCTGGGTGGGGCAGCGGGGGCAGTACCTTCTCCCGGATCTCCAGGGCTCGCTGGCACAGGGGCTCTGCCTCCCGGTACCGCCCCCGCTTCCCATAGAGCACCGCCAGGTTGTTGAGGGTGGCGGCCACCTGCAGGGTAGGGGAGGCAGGTCAGGGTGGGGAAGGGGGAGAGGCAGGGCCCCACAGCCCTCACTCCTGGGCCCCCACTCACCGCAGGGTGCTCAGGGCCTAGCGTCTGCTCCCGGATCTGCAGAGCATCGTGGAGAAGATCTGTGGCCTCCTTGTACTTGTTCTGGTCTCTGTGAGGTGGCCCAGGGACGGAGGGGGGTCAGCCATGCTGGGGTGTCACCCTTCCGTGGTCCCTTGTGGGTGTCTCCACTACCTTCCAAGTCGAGCACAGGCTCCCTTTGCTGGCAAGCCTCTGCCCCCCCCCCCCCCCCCCCAGGTCTCTTCCCTGATCTGTTGGGGTCTCTTGCCCACGTTCTCTGACGACTCCCTGCCTGGGTCACAGTGGCTTCTCCAGGTCCCCTGGACATCCCCCCCGCCCCCACCCATCCAGGTGCCCCATGCTGGCAGAGCAGGACGCCAGCTCCCCCGCCCCCAACCACAGGTCCAGGGCCGGCTGCGGCCTCACCGGTACACCAGCGCCAGGATGTTGAGCATGGTGGCCACGTCGGGGTGGCAGTGGCCTGAGCTCCGCTCCAGGTCCTCCAGGGCCTGACGGCACAGCGGTACGGCAACCTCGTAGCGGCCCTGGCCCGCGTACTGGATCACAAGGTTGTGCAGGGTCCGAAGGCGGGCCGGGATCTCGTAGCCCCCCTGCTGAGCCGCGGCAGCTCCCACTGCCTCGGGGCCTGCGGGCAGCAGCCGGGCATCAGGGCGCTGCCGGCCTCCTAGACTTCCCACCCCGTAAAAGGGGACACCTCCCCCAGGACTATAGCTGCCCCACTGGCCCCTGGGACGACGGGCCCTGCACCGGGCCTCTGAGATCGGGATTGCAGGCGTCTAGCTGGTCCATGGGGCCTGAACACGGGGTCGGCCTGGCCGGCGGCGCGGCGGCCACCATGCCTGGTTTCATGGCTTCCAGCCTCGGCCGTCACCCGCCCTGACCCAGCCCCTTGGCCTCATGCTCCTGCTCCCCTGTGTGGACACCCACCTCGGGGTCTCACGGTCCCTCCCCAGCCCCAGCCTCTCGTCCTCCAGGGCTAAGCAGCCCCACAACTGCAGGCTCCCCCACACCCACCTTTCCTCTCTTCCTCCTCACTGGGGAACAGGGAGGCCAGGCTGTCTCGGCGAGGGGGGGATTCAGGCCGCTGCAGAGGGCAGGAAAGTGGGGGGTCAAGAGAGCTGGGAGTTTGCTTTAGAGACCGGGGTCCTGGATCTCAGGGTTTGAGGGAGGCAGTGGTTAGGAGCCTCAGGGTAGGGGGTTCCTGAGGGCTTGGGGAGGATCTGGGGGCTTTGTGGAAGCCAGGGGGGCTTCTGTGGAAATTCTAGTGGGTCTGGAGGTTGTGGAACTCTGTCAAGGGTCCAGAGCTTTGGAGGGAGGGTCTAGGGCACGGGGGGGGCACTTCCGGGGGGGGTACAGGTCTGTGGGGTGTCTAAGGAGGATGCGGGGCCCAGTGCCCGGCCCAGCAGCACCTGGCTCTCTGCGGGCAGGTCATACTGCCGCAGCTGCCCCAGGAACTCCAGGTGGCTCTTCTCCTCCTCCAGTTGGGCCACGGCCTCCTCACTGGCCCGGAGCCGCCGCTGCGTCTCCTCCAGCTCCTCCCGCAGCCACGAGTTCTCCTGGGCCAGCCGCCGGGCCTGCGCTCTCAGCCGCTGCTTCTCGGCCTCCAGCGAGCCCACGTGCGCCGACAGGGCCAGCAGCACCTGCGCAGGCCAGGGGATCAGGGGCCCGACCCCGAGCACCCCCACTCCGCCCAGGGTCCCCCGGATTCCACAGAGACGCTTCCATGGTACTCCAAGGTTGTGCAAGGGGCTCCCAGGGCCATACCCAGATCCTGTCCGGGGACCCTTCTGATCTCACCCAGGCACACAAATCACATGCAGGGACACTTCATATTCTACCCATGTGACCCCAAAGTCTCCCCAGGACCCCAGAGTTCTAGAGATGGATGCCATTTGGTTCAGGGGACCCTGCACCACACAAGGACCCCCTAATGCTGCCCAGGAATCCCGTTTCTGGCCTAGCGACTCTCCTCCCCAGGCCTGGCTCCCCTAGGCCTCCCCTACTCCAGCCTTGCCCCCCACCCCCACCGCATACCTGTCTCCCTCATCCCCAGGCCTCCTCCCCGCTCTGAGCCTCACCCCCATAGCTGGAGAGCTGGTCCCCTCATACCTGGGCCTCACCCAGTCCCAGCTCGATGGCCTCCAGCGCGTGGCTCACCACCTGCTGCTTTTCTTCCAGCAGCTCCAAGCCGGCCACCAGGCCCTGACCCGCCAGGGCCTCAGCCAGGTGCCTGGCCAGGCCATGGTGCTCGGCCCGCAGGGCCTCCAACCCCTGCACCACTTGTCGGGTCTGCCGCACCAGCTCCTCGGGGCTCAGGCGCTCTGGGCCCAGCCCCGCGCTTCCAGGGGCGGCCACCTGCACCGACATTGCTGCTCCTGGCAGGGGTGGGGTAGGGGTGGGGGTGGGGTTGGGGAATCGTCAGCCTGTATGCCATTCCGGCCCAGCAGGACCCTTCCCGACTATCTCCCTGTCCAGCCATCCCGGCTGGCCCTCTGTCCCTGTGCCCTCCTCATTCTGGCCGGCTCCCTGTCCCACACCCATCCCAGCCAGCCGGCAACTGGAAACACCCTAGTCTAGCTCTGCCTGTCCTCAGCCCCGGGCCCTGCCCCGAGGGCAAGTCCAAAACCCCACGTATAACTAACCCAAAGAGGGCAAACAGTGGTCTCGTGGCCTCTCACCTGCCCTCAGCTCACCTGGCCAGCCCCGTCCACCCCAAGGGCCCCAGATCCCCGGGCCCAGAACACCTCCCGGCCGGGTGACCTGGACTGGAGGCCCCCGCCTCTGCTGGGCGCTGCTTGGGGCGGGGCGTGTGGAGGCGGCGGCCTCTCCGTGAGCTCATTCTTAGGGTGTTTTTGTTGGGAACCAGTCAGACCACTGGGGGGGGGGGGGGGGGGGGGGCAGGGCCAAGGGGCTGGGGCGCCGGAAGCAGAGGAGCCCTCTAGGTTTGGGGGCATCAGAACGGGGGAGCCCATGTGTCAGCTCCCAGGACCTGAGGAGCTGACAGATCCCAAGGGAACAGGGGCTCCACTCTCCACTGCAGACAAGCTCAGCCAGCCTAAGGCATGTTGGGACACACGTGTGGCAGCCACAGCCCAGGGATTCACACTAGCCATGTGACAGCTCAGAGTCTGAGGCCTCGATGCTAATGGGTGGGGGTCTCAAGGGGGAAACTTCCTGTGGTTGTCTGTGGGTGACAAAGCAGTGACGGCTCGTGGTGCCTCCGGAGCCCTCACACACACAAGCACACACACACAGTCCCCTCCCAGAAATAGACCCCAACATACGCACACCCTCCCTTCTTAAATACAGAACGCGACACATGCATTCTCCTCTCAGAAATCGAAAACATGCTTTCTTCTTTCAAATACAGTGCAATATATACTTTCTCAGAAACACACCCGCTCATACACACGCGCACACGCACATACACACGCTCCCCTCTCAGAAATACAACTCAATGTACACACACTCCCTTCTTAAAAATATAACGTGATAAACATTCTCTCAGAAACACGACATACTCTGGACATGCTCTGTCTCCTCTAAAAAATAAAACTGAATACAGTCCCACACATCCACATTTTCCTTTCAGAAAACCTAGTACAGGGGCGCCTGGGTGGCTCAGTCATTAAGCGTCTGCCTTCCGCTCGGGTCATGTTCTCAGGGTCCTGGGATCGAGCCCCGCATCAGGCTCTCTGCTCAGCAGTGTGTCCGCTTCTCCCTCTACTCTTCCCCTGGCTCATTCTCTCTCTCTCTCTCAAATAAATAAAATCTTAAAAAAAAAAAACAACTAATGCAACACACTAACTCGGGCACACACACACATATACTCTTAGAAATAACACATGTACGCTCTCCTCTTGGAAATACAACCCAACACACAGGTCTATTTTCCTCTCAGGAATAAAAACCAACACACAGAGAAGCTCTGTCTCCCCCCCCCCCCCGTGAAAAGATAACCAAATCACTCACATTCAGCCT